AGAAGTTTGTCCCCTAGAGGGAGACTGTGAAACTGTAACCAACTCCGGGGAGCTGGCAGCTGTTACAGATTACAATCGTGGGAATAGACATCTGACCTTGCAGGACAATGTATTCAGAAGCTCTGTTGTGTGCGTTCTATAAAACAAATGCCCTATTGGAACAGCTACATGAGAAGACGAATTTGATGGCTGATTCGATTAGAAATTTTGAACAGGCAGTGGGAAATTTTGAACAGGCAGTGGGAAAATATGTGGAGCCCACCCAGGAATTAAATCAGGAGTGTGCCTTGACAGAACAGGCCCAACAGGAACATGAGCTTTCGGAATTGACAAATGAACTTGGAAAAAGCCAGATTTGGAAAGGAAAAGTTTGGTTTGGTTTGGAAATGGGGGGCTGGATAGACCCCCCTATGCAGGGATGTTCGGACTTTCCAAGTCTGGCAATGGGCCGTGAGATGTCTGGGATTGTGGGGGCTCTTAATTTTGGAGGGATTCTGAAACACGTTTTTAAATACCACATGGAGTTTAGTTTGGACTATGGAAAAGGGGCTGATCTGTTGAAAAGGGTCAAAAACATTGTTAAGCTGGAGTTCCCACGAGTGAAACGAGCAGGAGACAAGGGAAAATACAGTTACAAATATGAAGAAGAGCTGCGGAAGGGACATGGAAGAGACTTAAGGTCCTCGGATATAAGGGCACCAGGTTAATGCGCTAGATCGATGGGATAATAAGGACTGACAAAACCCGGGACCAGGAGGAAGGGACGCTGGATGAAGATTGGATTGTTTCTATTTCTTTTTCTACTACTAGGATTGTTTTATAAAATTGATGAATGTTAGAAAAATGTTGGAATGAAATTACTTGGCTTTAGTAAAAATGTTTAAAGAATTATGTAAGAATATTATGGTTATGAGAAGTTGGTAAAAATAAGATTTAAGTTTTAAGTTTCAAGGTTTTTTATAGTAAGATAAGATTAAAATAGTTTAAGGTAATGTAATGACAGAATTTTATGAAATATGGAAAGGATTTGCTGCAACAATTAACAACCAGGATACAAAAAAAGGGAGGAGGTGGTCAAAGAAAGAAGGTAATGACAGTTGAGGATTTGAGAATAATGGATTTGTTTTTAAAAGTTTGTGGTGTATTTTGTTGTTGTTGTTGTTGTTTTGAATTTGTATTGTTGGATGTGGTTTGTGTTTTTCTTTGTTCTTTTTCTACTTTGTTTTCTTCTGTAACTCTAAAAATTTTTTTCCAATAAATATCATTTAAAAAAAAAGAAAGAAAGGCGGGATATCAAATCCAAACTCCTTCTTCTTCTTCTTCTCATGAGGTGGCCAAAGTATTGGAGCCTCAGCTTCACGATCTGTCCTTCCAGTGAGCACTCAGGGCTGATTTCCTTAAGAATGGATATGTTTGATCTTCTTGCAGTCCATGGGACTCTCAAGAGTCTCCTCCAGCACCATAATTCAAAAGCATCCATTCTTCGGCGATCAGCCTTCTTTATGGTCCAGCTCTCACTTTCATACATCACTACTGGGAAAACCATAGCTTTAACTATACGAACCTTTGTTGGCAAGGTGATGTCTCTGCTTTTTAAGATGCTGTCTAGGTTTGTCATTGCTTTTCTCCCAAGAAGCAGGCGTCCTACAATGTAGTTGACTTCAACAGGGTTACATGCAAAGCAGAGATCAGTTAGAGCAGGGGTCGGCAACCTAAGGCCCATGGGCCACAAGCAGCCCACGGAGGTCATTTAACTGGCCCATGGACCCCCGCCGCCCACTCGGGGACCCCTGCCACCCACTCGGTCGGCTCCCATGTGCCGCGCTAAACCAGCACGGAGCAGAGTGGGGACTGCCTTCCGTGATGCTGTTTGGCTTCCCAGGAAGTTCCTGCAGCCAATGGGAAGCTGTGCATGCCTCCTCCGCGCCGGAAGAACACCGGAAATAGCGTTTGCAAATGAGTGCAGGTCCTGAACATAGAATTTTAGTGAAATTAAGCATGTCAGCGGTGCCAAATTGAATAAAATATGGGGGGGGCAGGTAAGACCCATGATCACACGATACGGTGCACGCACATCATTTGAATGGCAATGCCCACCAACTGGGTTGTGTGTGTGGCCCCCCCTCAAATATTCTGGCTCCTATGTTATATATACTCCATAGACTCCAGTGCCCCCACATGGAAACCGCTCTCATGCTTATCTAATTAAAAGCATCCATCACCCTCCTGCCTAATAGAACGATACATTACAATAAAATACTGTGGGTTTGTGTATTTTTGGATAGATTTTCTTACTGGAGCAACCATAGGCACAACAAACATCAAAAGAACACCTGAATGCATCAGGCTTTTATTTCAATTAAAACTTGTGCTAACTTGTAAATATTTAAAATCTGTCAATATGAGTTTTAATATTTAATCCAAGAGGACAAAATAAATATTTTGACATCTAAGCAAAGCAAACACCACATCACTCTTGTCACTTAATGGTGCTGCAAATCATTTTCTAAGGCATCTCATTACCAGGGCTTATTATGGGGGGAAAGTGTTAATTATACTGGCAGTCCCAACTAAATAAACTAGTTCTACTCTGTCACCCTGAGAACTAAATGATAAATGCAAGGTCATGTGAACTTTTCTGCTAAAATGAATGCTTGCAATATCCTGATTTATCTGTATGCTTAGCATTATGGCTAAATTTGAAGCATCATGGGTTTTTTTTTAAAAAAAATAGAGTCCATTTTGTTTGTTCATTTTTGCAAACTTTCCAATTTTTTAAAAGAGTGTACCCATAATATTGTTGCACACCACCCCAATTTCCAAGTGGTGCGAGATTCCAGGAATCCCAGTCGCTTACTCTGGATTCATTCTTTTCAGAATGAGGGACAGCAGAGATTGCGATCTCTTTATGATACTTACCCATCCATACAACCTGAGCTTCTGCTTCTGCCACTGTTACCTGCCACCACATCATGGCCTGGCAGGCTGCTGCTGCTTCCATCTCTTGCCGCCACAACATGGCCTCACAGGCAGCTGCTGCTGCTTTTGCCACTGCCACTGCAAGGCCTGCAGGCCACCTCCGCTTCTGCCATTGTGTCCTGCCACCGCCGTGAGGCCTCACAGGCTGCCACTGCTTCCCGCCACCGCAACAAGATCTGGCAGGCCGCTGCCACTTCTGTCACTGCCCTCTGCCGGCATGGTGTGGCCTGCAAAGTTGTTGCTGTTTCTGCCGCCAAGCCACTACAGCTTCTGCTGCCTAGCAGGCCTGCTGGCAGCCCCAGATTACTTGTCTTCACTATGACTCATTGCTGTACTTTGGATTGTCCTGAACACCACCATTTGGTAGCCATGCCCCCAAACCTTTGTGCAAACTGTATTTAAATTGTGCTCTACTTTGAAGTTTCCTTCAGTAACACAAGAGTTACATTATCCTGATCACCTGGTTAGGGACCCTGATCTTGCCCACAGCACAACTGATTCTGAAATGAAAGCACTCTGTGACTATAGGGTGTTGCCTGACATTAAATGTACAGGGATTGAGTCCCAGTCTCTAGAAATACCATAAAGGAAGCCTTTTCACTGGATTCTGTACTAGTTTTGAATACCTGGAAATCTATGGATAGTATGCCCATTGTTCACAAATACAACAAATTACTTTTCAGGATGTTTACTCACCAGAGGAATTCCATCACCTCATGACACTGCATAGCAACTTGATGATACATATGTTACCTTACAATATCACATGCAGATGCAACATCACAAGGCTAGCACACAAAGTGAGAGAACAAGGCATCTGACAACTATAAATCATAACGATGCTTGATTTAACCACCCCAAAATATGTCCACTTCATTCTTAAAGCACTTATAGTTACAGTTCTATGCATACAGGTTTATTGAGGAATGACCATTGGGAGGAGCCCAGAAAGAAGAAAAACCATGGTATACCTGAATCAGCACAACCGGATGCCTTCATCTGCCCTAACTACAACAAAACATGTCTCTCCCATATACGTCTCTACATTCACAACAGGCACTATAACACTCCAACAGTTCGATTTTACCCTCCATCGTCTCCAGAGGCAGATGGATGCTAACCTGGGACATACTTCTTAGTGTAACTATGCACAATATCCTGTTGACTGTGCTGTATAATGAACCTGTGATGTCTGAACACTAGGATCTAGAGAAGCAGTGAGCCCTGAAAGCCCTGTGGTGTGACGACTTTCTGACTATTTGCCTGTAAGGCAAAGAGCACATGAGACCGAAAGCAAGACTGAGGAGGAGCGGAGCAAGCTTCACGGACAACGTGAAGAAGGACTGATTACACAGGACGCTGGCCGGGGAAATCTCAAAGCTGCTCAGGAGCGCCTTTCCACAGCCACTTCATGCTCCTACAGCTCCACAGAGCAAAGCGCCTGTTGACCAGAGAGGGAGGCTGCCTTTGGCTAACGAATGTCAGTACGTAGCAACCTTGGAAGGGAGGTGGTGACCGCAGGGCTGGCACAATTCATTTTGCTGCTTGAGGCAGAATGGGAAGGTGCCTCAACTTTGACTTAGGAAGGCGAGAGAGGAAGGGGGGGCATTTTTTGGCTTTCGCACAGGGCGCCACTGAACTTTCGGAAGCCCAAAGTCCGCCCTGACTGGCTGCAGGTACTCCTGTTGGACCGGCATCCAATGGAGGAGCTTCTCAGCACCACTGCAGGTGCCTCCCACCCCAGTCGCTGGAGAAGTGAGAGGCGGCGGAGACGGCGGCGAGATCTCACCAGAGGTCCCCGGAACTCCCTGCCACTTCTCCGGTGGCAGCGGGGGCGCCTGAGGCAGCCGCCTCAGGGATCCCCACGGGCTATCCTTGTCGCAAAACAAGGCAGTCGCGTTATTGACTCCTTTAACAATACACGCCGCCTCCCCCCATCTCCGAGTTTGCAGAGCCGAGCGCGCCTCGAGGGCCAAGTCCCCCGGCCCGCCGCGTCGTGTGCACTGCACGTGACCGGAGCGCGAGTCAGCCGGAGGGGGAGAGAGAGAGAGAGAGAGAGGGAGGGAGCAGCGCTGCTGGTGGCGGCGCCTCCCTCACCGTCCCGCCTGTCCGGACTTTCCGGTCCCAGCGTGCACTGCGGCGGCGTTTGAATGGCGCTGGCTACGCCGAGTGGGCCCCGGCGCTAGGACTCCGCCGCCGCCGCCGCCGCCGCGCCCGGCGGCTCCCATTTAAGGCCCATCCAGCAGCAGAACCCGCGGCGCCTGGACCATGAGCAGCACTCGCAGGTGAGCGAGCGGTCGCCCGCCCGGTGGGCCCTGGCCAAGGAGCCGGCGGTGGCGGTGACTGCCACCGGGCCGTCCCAGCCAGGCGTTCCCCTTCTTCCTCCTCCCTGCTGGTGCACGCAGGCCCGGGTCAGGTGCGAAGGAGCAGCCGGGCAGCCAGCGGGGGCCGCAGGGAGAAAGAGCCAGTTCCGCCGCCGCCCCTTCCCCTGCTTCTTCCTCGCTTGATAGTTTCCTTTCATTCGCCCTGGGCGGGGAAGGCCCACCTCGCTCTCTTCCCATGTTGGGAGGAGTGCTCATGGGCGGGGGTGAGCTAGTTCCTACCTGCCTGCGAGCCACCCACTATCATGCTGCCAGCTGAGGAGGCTGCATTTGTGTTGGATTCCCCATTCCCCCACCCCCCAGCTCGTGAGTATGCGCTGTAAAACTATTTTTAAAAAATGAAGAAATTGAGGTGCACTATTCTTTTAATCCTCAAGCACCTAATTCGGGAGAGACAGAAGGATGACACACACACCCCGGTTTTCTTTCAGGCTCCCTTCCCTCCTGCATTTACAGCAGGAACTTTATTTTGGACGTACCACATGTTTGGTCCATGGGGTCACGAAGAGTCAGACACGACTAAACAACAACAACCACGTGTTTAAGGTTGCATGCCTGTGCACTCTTACAAGCGAGTAAAACCCTATTGGGCTGGATGAAATTAGGTTCTGAGTAACCATGCTTAGAATGGGGACCGTAGGAAACCGGTGGACAGACTGGTCCATCTAACTTCAGTGTTGTCTATGCCGATGGGCAGTGGCTCTCTAGGATTTTGGGTAGGAGTCTCTCAGAACTACCTTGAGATGCTTAGGGATTGAATCTCCATGCAGAGTGGATGTGCTGCCCCTGAACTATGATGCCTTCCGTGAATTGCAGTGCCAGTACTCTCATTTTGCATAGTGTGGTTGTCTCCTAAAATGGGGTTCCTCTACTGTTCTATATTAGGCAGGACAATATGCCTTTTAGGTCTTAATTCACCAGGTGATATTAGTGCTTTTGCAGGTGGGGAACCCTTGGGTAACTCAGAGCTGTTCGAAGAAATGACTTTGCAACTTAATTTTAGGGGATGTCCCTATTTAACAGAAGGATGGCATCGTGAGACCAATATGCAACATAACAGATACCTGCCAATAGTGTCATGCAGTGTAAAATAGTGCAAGGGCTCACTGTGCCTTGTGGCTTCTTCTTAGATCTGGAGGAGGGGAGAGGTGTAACACAAGGGGGAAGATTCAGGTTGGTAGCCATGTTGGTCTGACGCTGTCGAAATATATACATGAAAGCTTATACCAAGAACAAACTTAGTTGGTCTCTAAGGTGCTACTGGACATTTTTTTTATAGATTTTGACAAGGGGGAAGAGTGTATTGGGGTGGAGATGAGAAGGTGGAAATGCAAGTAAATCATATAGGGTTAGAGACAATGCAGTCAGGCAGGTGGGACAGTGATTAGATGGTAGTTCCCTAAAACTTTATATGCAAGGTGCCTAAGTATTCCAAACTCATAGCAGGTGGAGCAATAGAAACATAGCCAGGGGCATTCCTCAAAGCCACTTTCTGTTAACAGGAGAACTTGAACCTGTTTCACATCCAGGTAGTTTCATTCCTCCAACCTTGTTTGCTGGACCTTGCTAATTCTACCAATACCTAAGAATCTTTAACATTTTGCTGTAGTTCACACTATTATTATGTTGCCATAGATTTAACTCCAGTATCATAGTATTCCAACCTTTATGTGCAGAATCTAACATACTTTCTTTTTCAGTATGTTTTACATTTTGTAATCTATCCTTATTCCAAGTACTTCTTGAGGGCATGCACCGCCTCTCCAGTTTACCTGTGCAACAATGCATGGTTTGCTATGCTGAGGGGGAGCCACTAGTGTCAGTGTGCCTGAAGAGAGTCAATTTAAAAGTGGTTGATCAAATTAATAGGTGTGTATTAGTAAGCCTCATTAAATATAAAGGACCTTATTCTGAGTAAACATACATGTCCTTATGCTACAGTGACCAGTACGTCATCACATGGTTCACAAGATCTTCATCTGACCCACTAAAGAAATGATAATGCACATCCCTCTCTTACCATGAAAGATTTTAAAAAGTGCTACAGCACAGTTGAATATCCTATGGCTTGTATCCAATGTAGCACTAAGTGACCATCCTGTCAGTACAATGACTTCTCCTTACACAATAAGACTTCTCTGTTTCATCCCTCTATGTGCTCCCTCTGCCCTCCCCAAATCTGTTCTCAATGGTTAGGGGGAAATCCATAAAAGATTTAGGGGCTGCAGATAGAGAGGGAGAGGGGGGAACTCCCACTGTGCAAGCATAAATCTTTGCACTGTCAGGTTTAATGGGATACTGATCACTGTGGCATAAGGATGCTAACATTTTTCTCAGAAGGTTTTTAATTCTGTGGTAAAGTACTATGTTGAAAACATCTACCCATGTGTTACCATAAATTCTTGACCATCAGTGGATTATCTGCATTTGTTAAATAAATGGATTTGGGAATAATAATAATAATAATAATAATAATAATTAATAATAAATTATTTATACCCCGCCCATCTGGCTGGGTTTCCCCAGCCACTCTGGGCGGCTCCCAACCAAATATTAAAACACAATACAGCATTACATATTAAAAACTTCCCTGAACATAAGGAATAATTTTGCTGTTTATCTGTGTTTTGTTATCCTTTTTGTTATCCTTTTCATTTTTATTACTTTCACTTATTTTAGAAGTACTTCAGCCCACAAACCTCCTTAGCTCTTTTCCCCCCTTTTGATGCACCCTACAAAGCAGACATAGGTTGTCCACATTACACGCTGCTCACAGTGTTTGAGTTTCATGTGATCACATGGTGAAGTTTTTGGTTGACTATATAATTTTGGGCAGCAAGTACAAGATTGTATTTTTAAAAGGTCCATATTTTTTAAAAATCTGCATTTAGGGAGCAAGTCTGCCTTTGGCATTAGCTTGAAAACTGAACAAGGAAAAAAAAACCTTTCCAAAATTGCAAGTATTGATTTTTATTTATTTTTAAGATGACATAGAAAGCAGCATGATCTAATTAATCGTGTGAGGCCAGCTTTTTTCCTGACTTCCAGAAGTTGCTTACTTTAGTGCTTCTCTTGACCTTCCCTTTCCTTCAGTTTTGGTGCAGAAGACCTGCATCCATCTACCAAAAGGAGGATAACCTGGGCTTCAGATGTCTGATGGTGATAGGAAAAGATGCACATCATGGAAGTGCACTGCAAAAAGTTCATGAAGTGTCTCTTCTGAGGATTGTCTGTTTTGTTAACTTTTGAAACCCTTAAGATACAATGCTGCCTGATCAATTACTTTAAAAGTATTACTATGTGCATTGCATATAGGCAGTCTTGTGGATAATTGCAGCACTTTACCCATCTTCTTGTACTTGCCTGTCAAAGAATAACTGTGGTTAGTGTTGCCTGTAGTTTATTGAAATGAGCCAACGTTGTGGTTAATGAACCTGGCTTGTTACAGTAAAGCATAGTTAACACTAAGTACAATTTGGCTGGGTTCTATCGGGACCTTAAAAGCTGTGATTAGCTCAAAACAGAAATGGATCCTTTTGATCTCCTTGAATGTGTGATAAGGGAGGGTAAAGGGAAATGCACAAGCCCAAGGCTTGAACACACAGTACTAAACCAGTCTTCCCCAAATCAGAGCCTTCTAAATGTTTTGGTCTACAATTAGTCTCGACCAAAATGGCCAGTGGTCAGAGATTATGCAAGTTTTTTAGTCTGAAACACCCAGATGGTACCAGGTTAGGGAAGGAGGCATTTAATTATGGTTTTGTGCCACGTGTAAACCAGGCCACTGATCACTGCAGACTGCAAAGAGTTTGCCAGCTTTGGTTTGGTGCCAGCTGTAGTTATACATTTAGTGTTAACCATAGTTAGCTGTGAAATTGGCAGAGTACAACCTTGATTGGCAGGCGGGGGTGGGGAGAGAACCATGTGGATTACAGATCAATCTGAAGCTATCTAAAAATGCACAACCCAAAAGGAAAGGGATTGGAAGGGAGGAGGAAGTACCGTAAGTCAGAGGTAGGGAACCCTTTTCAGCCCAGGAGCCACATTTCCTCATGGGCGACATTCTGGGGGCTGCATGGACAAGGCTAGAGGAAAAATTGGACAGAGCAACAAATGTGACTTAGTTCTGTACAAAGCCTGCAATTCACCTACAGTACCCAAACGTCCAAAGTTACATACATGTCTACATGCACACTGCTACTTTGGAAAACAAGATACAATATCATTGTTCGGGAGCACATTCCAGCCAGGCAGAAGCACGTGAGGAAGGCGCGAGTGAACAGGGCCAGTGAGGGATTTGTGCTTGAGAGTGTCTCAAGAGCAGGCTTCCTCAACCTCAGCTCTCCAGATGTTTTGAGACTACAATTCCCATCATCCCTGACCACTGGTCCTGCTAGCTAGGGATCATGGGAGTTGTAGGCCAAAAACATCTGGAGGGCCGAGGTTGGGGAAGCTTGCTCAAGAGCTTGATAGAAAGAACTGGAGGACTATATTTGATCCATGAGCCAGAGAGGTGTCTCCCCTCACCCAAATGAAATAAACAAACTCAAGGACCAGGTTTTCCAATATGTCTGCTCCAAGCTCTAGAAAACTGCATATTGTTATCTTTTGAAGGCTGCTATAGGCTTAATGTTGATATGATTTTCACAATGTGCTATAAACTAGGATTGCTCTTCTAGGAACTGGAGCTTTTTATGTATGAAGCTGAATTGATAACAAGAAAGTAGTGACAGAATTCCATCTCTGAGAACTAATTTGATGGGCATGGGGTTCAGTTGCGAAAAGTCTGATTGGTACTGCAGTAGATTACTCATGAGATAATAACTGATCATTTCAGCTGAGCTGAGGATTTTGGCTAGACAACTTTTAATTTGCTAATTAAGATAATTAAGGTTTTGTTTTGAAAGAGACACAGATTTAGAGGGAGTGAACAGCTCTGAATTTCATTTAGGCTGCAATCTTATACACACTTCACATGAGTAAATCCCATTGAACTCAGTGGGACATCAATTGAGAAGACATACACAGAAGTGCACTGTCGTTGTAAAGTATTCAGGATTTTTCTGATTTGAAAAACAAACAAACAACCAGCACACGTACTACCACGATTTATACTTCCCCCAAAATACAGGTTATCTAATCCCATTGCAACATATGCCTGGGGATAGTAGTTAATTGATGTAATACTAATTTCCAGTGCTCTAAATTTATTAGGATCTTATTAGTATTAGGAGAAATGTAAAATATTGCACTTGGGCAAAAAAAAATGAGAGGCACAAATACAAGATGGGTGACACCTGGCTTGAGAGCAGTACATGTGAAAAGGATCTAGGAGTCTTGGTTGACCACAAACTTGACATGAGCCAACAGTGTGATGCGGCAGCTAAAAAGCCAATGCAATTCTGGGCTGCATCAATAGGAGTATAGCATCTAGATCAAGGGAAGTAATAGTGCCACTGTATTCTGCTCTGGTCAGACCTCACCTGGAGTACTGTGTCCAGTTCTGGGCACCACAGTTCAAGAAGGACACTGACAAACTGGAACGTGTCCAGAGGAGGGCAACCAAAATGGTCAAAGGCCTGGAAACGATGCCTTATGAGGAACGGCTAAGGGAGCTGGGCATGTTTAGCCTGGAGAAGAGGAGGTTTAGGGGTGATATGATAGCCATGTTCAAATATATAAAAGGATGTCACATAGAGGAGGGAGAAAGGTTGTTTTCTGCTGCTCCAGAGAAGCGGACACGGAGCAATGGATCCAAACTACAAGAAAGAAGATTCCACCTAAACATTAGGAAGAACTTCCTGACAGTAAGAGCTGTTCGACAGTGGAATTTGCTGCCAAGGAGTGTGGTGGAGTCTCCTTCTTTGGAGGTCTTTAAGCAGAGGCTTGACAACCATATGTCAGGAGTGCTCTGATGGTGTTTCCTGCTTGGCAGGGGGTTGGACTCGATGGCCCTTGTGGTCTCTTCCAACTCTATGATTCTATGATTCTAGTTTGAGTTATATCTGGAAAAATAAAACTAACAAATACTTGAGGGGCCCATCCATGTGGCACCTGAAGTCTAATGTAAATTCAGAGCTACTTGTTTTTCTTGGCATCTGTGTGCCATCTTTGTCCAAATGCCAAACGCCAACCTATAGGTTTTTGTCATTTAATCCAAGTTTTCCTGATCTGCAATTATCAAACATAAAAAATGCACGATTGCCTGAATGCCGTGCATACTGAAGCTTACTGTGACCTCATGTTTCTGTGTCTGGTTCTTTGCATGTGTGGTGATGTTTCCTTGTGTCCTTTCTCTATTGCCACACCACCTACTTCTGTTTGCTCCTTGCCTGAGCACAAACTAGCCATTATGTTTCCATTTATCTCAGAGGATAAGCATGCCTATTTCTGCTGGTGGCTGCTGAAGACATCCACAGTACCTGTGTATGTTTTTTTTATTTCTAATACAGCTGTTTTATGCAAAACTTCACTTGCACAAAACAGCTATATTCAAAACAAGATTGGTCCTTCAGGATATAAAGAGGAATTGGTAGCTGCAGAATTTGCAACCCATTGTGCAAGATGAGGAAATGCCCCGTGTTGACTTTAAGAACCATATAAATATCTCAAATGTTTTCCAAGAGCCAAAAGTGCTTGAACTGAAATATTTGATAATATCTAAAATGCAGTCCAGTGGTACCTCGGTTTAAGAACAGCCCTGTTTACGAACTATTCGGTATAAGAACTCCGCAAAACCGGAAGTAGTGTTCCGTTTAGCAAACTTTTCCTCGGTCTGCGAATGGAAGCCGAAAGTGGAAGGGCACCGGCAGTGGGAGGCCTTGTTAGGGAAAGCACGCCTCGCTTTAAGAACGGTTTTGGTTTGGCGGAAATGACTGGCAGAATCCGAGACCAGGGAGAAGAGTCGGTGGAAGAAGATTGGAAAAAGTTTAAAGACTATTTACAGAAATATTGTAAAATTAATGAATGTTAGAAAAATGTTGGAATGAAGTTATATGGCTTCAGTAGAAATGTTATAAGGAATTAAGTATAAATAGATTAATAGAGAATTAAAGGGAAAAATAGGTTAAAATGTGTTAAGATAATTATAGGATAGAAAGCAGAGGAAGATGGAAAGGAATTGCTGAAACAACTAATAGAAGTGGAATACAAAAAGGGAGGTGTGAGGAGGTCATGGAAATAAGTGAATGAAAGATTGAAATTATTTGATGTGTTTTAAATTGTTTTTGTTTTGTTTTCTTAGTTTAAATTGTTTTTGTTAGTTTAGTGTTAGGTATTGTTTTTGTATTGTATTGTATTGTTTATTTTCTTTTTTTATGTAATTTCCAAATTGTTGGAAAGTAATAATTTTTTTTTTTTTTTTTTAAAAAAGAACGGTTTTGGTTTAAGAACGTACTTCTGGAACGGATTGAGTTTGTAAACCGAGGTACCACTGTACACTTATAGCTTAGATATTCAAACAAATCCGAAGCAGTACCTACTAACTATTTTATTGTAATATTTGTTGGTACAGTCATACCTCGTGTTGCGTTCCACTCTTCTTACGGACTTTCAGCTTACGAACGCGGCAAACCTGGAAGTGTTTACTTCCGGGTTCGCCACCTGCACATGCGCAGAAGTGCTTGATCATGCCACACACATGTGCAGAAGAGGCGCTCTAGTTGCGGACTTTTTGGGGTGCGAACAGCACCCCGAAACGGATTAAGTCCGCAACTAGAGGTACCGCTGCATTTTAAAGACTTCTTTACATATTCACTGGGTTGTGCCCTCACTCTAGTATTTGAGCCCTAGTTTGGTAGCTGCTGTAGGTGACCAGGAATTCTGCTCAGGCAATTGAGTAGGCTGATGGAAGAGAGATGAAACACTCCAGCCCTCTTTCCCACCTGGCTTAGAAATGCTGTGCATCTTTCCAGCCAGCCCCCAGCAGGCTAATAACATTTTTGCAAGTAGGAACTTACATAGAAGGCTGAACTAGACTGTGTCACATTGTGATATTCTATGCAATAAAGTGGTCAGGATAGGTAAACCAGATGGTTTGTACTTCTGTTACTGCTGCATGGATATTAACATTCAGAAAACGGTATTACATTGGCGTGAATTTCTACTTTCCTGTTTTCTTTACCTAATGCACTTGTTCTGAAGGAGCATTTTTAAGGAAGCCTCAGCTCTACTTCAGTCCAGTAAGACTGAAGAGCTGATTACCTATTTATAGACTGTGCACAAAGCATCTTTGCAATGGAACATTGCCCTCCATAGTATGCTTCTACCTTAGGCTCCAGAGGATGGTTGGGCAGATCTGAAATTGATTTATAAGTATTCCCAGGGATTGTTTTGAGAGAAGGAAACAAAAGCTTATGAGATGAGGACCACAAATCACTAACTAATTTTATTTAATGCTGATTTATTAAAAATAAAATACCAAACTTAATGGCCTTTATGCTAGACTTCAAATAGTCTGTGGTTCTTATGTTTCTGAAACCAATTTATATTAGTTATTTATTAACTGAGGAGTTGTAAGCAAGTGCTGAAGAGAAGAAACTGTCAAGCGCTTAGTTAAAAGGTTGGCACTGTATAGCCTATGGCAGATAATAGTATCCAGATGGATCCCTTTGAAGATTTTTTTTTTTTATGATGGCAGCAGTGAGATTGGCCTTAGGTGTTAGCAGATCTTTAGACTGAATTAACCAATGTGCATTGACATATTTTGAATCTTAATTGTGTGAATATTCCATGTTGTTCAGCACCTTGCTGTGTTTTTTAGAAAGTGTATAAATATTTAAATAATAATAAACTTCAGGTGTCCTTATTGGACCACATCGCTGATGAGGTTTTTCAAAATCTCTATCATAGTATCCACAGGGCATGTATTAGTTAAGTACTTATCACTTACAGCTGATACAGTTTTATAGACTTCCCTGTAGATTGCATCTAATGTGCTAAATAAATAATGTCTTCATTAAATCTCATTCAGATTACTGTGGGATTGACAGATAATGTTAAGAATGAAAATTAACTTTACCTTTGTCTTGAAAACCAGGGATTTTGGATATTATGGCAACTGAAGCCCAAAATGTTAGAAAACGAATGCTATTGTATAGTGACGGTCGTCCTGTTGATCTCCCTAGAAAAAGGAGTTCTTATTCCATTAATGAGAACATGAAGGAGGTAAGCTTTTACGTTTTCATCTAGATCGTATAACTAGTTTTCTAACGCAAGACATACAGAGCTAGTTCTATTGTTGTGTTGTGTGTTCTGAGTGACCTCCCATTCAGAGCTGTAAAGGGTCATTAGTTCCAATATTATAATCGGCAAGAGCTACAAATACCCAGTAGCTCCAGTTGCTTTTTTATTTACAGTTTATAAAAACAAATAAAACTTATTACAATTATAATAAGTTTTTTTTTTTTTAATCAGCCTTGCATTGGGAAATTTCCAGGCGCCTTAGAACAGCCTTTCTCAACCATGGGTCCCTAGTTGTTGAACTACAATTTCCATCATACTTGACCACTGGTCCTGCTAGCTAGGGATGATGGGAGTTGTAGTCAAACAACATTGGAGGACCCAAGGTTGAGAAAGGCTGCCCTAGAGAGTTATATAATTTAACGTGTTTATTTTATTTGTATTTAGTTAACAAAGAGAAAAAAACATTTAAACAGTCAAGGCTGCCAAATATTGTATATTAAACTGGCATCCATTCATTGTTACCAATGAATCTATAAAATAGAAAAATTTCCATGAGAAAAAATAAGCACTGAAAAACTTGCTGCTCCACATCACTGACAACATGTATAAGAACCTCTTCAGCCAAACCAGATGCCATCGTGAAGGGGGTGTGGTTGACAGCCTTCATAAATATTGTCTTATATATAAAGAGTGCATGGTTGTCATGATTCACTAGCTTATGTTTCTAAACAGAATGAAATGATGGGCTTATAAAGAACATGCTTAGCCCATCCAGAAGAGGCAAATACAGAAAATGGCTGCTAATTTCTAGAAATATTCTGATAGATCTACCTATCTACCCATTTCAACATGGGGAAGGTGTTCTCACTAATTTGCCAAGTAGTGTTGTATTAGCATGAGCCCTTCTTTACAACTGAACCTTCAGGGGTAAGATCTACTTGACAAATAGCTTCTTTCTCCTTCTACACCCCTCCTTGTAACCCATCCATCTATTGCACTCTTACATTATTTTGAGTCAGTCTGAGGTGATTCAATTCATGGAGCATGATTGTGATTGTGCATTCAGTTGAAGAAGGAAGCTTTCCACATTTGGGGTAAAATGTGAAAAGCACAAAAAAGAGCCTAAACAAATTAAAAGCAATGAGGATAGGTGATGAATTCTACATGTTTGATAGCAACACAGTTAAAACATGAGAAACCATTTTCTTCCAAAACCATGCTGTCCACTACCAAAAGGATTGTGAGTGAAAATGCCCTTTTAATTTATAACACCAAAGGTAGCAACAGAAAAGTGGTTTGTATTGTTACCTTACCTTTTTGTGGGGAGTCCCGATGAGTCAGAATATCAAATGTTAGAACATTCAAATGCTGATCAGTCTCACTATAAACATATTGATAATATGACAGATAATAGCTCACTTGGTGTGCTGAAGAAATCATCCTCAACCATATTACATTCTCAAGCTGTTGGCAGACTTATCTAAGACCCTGGCAATCAAGTGTACACTTTCCACCACATTTTATTAGTAAAGACTGACATTATAACACAGGTTGTAATACAAAGTTTTCTCTGATGTCATAATCCCACCTCTTGCCATGGATGTCACAATATCATGTCCTTCAGCTAGATGCTCAGAGCAGCCATTAGTGGTTTTGCTCTGCGACAACAAAAATAAATGTATTTTCCCCAAATGCTTGTTGTATACAACAATTGAAACAAGGAGAAAAAAAACAAAAAATCAGACACATAGAAGATTATTAGTAGGTTTTTTCATTCTTGGTTATAACATATATGCTGTTTATTTCTAGGGTAAGAAATCTGCAAAACATTTGGCTTCTTCCACAGGCAGGTAAGAGCTGCTTCTCTTAATCTTGGAGACAGAATTCTACAACTGATCAATTTAGACAAGTCCCTTTTCCGATTATCAGTGAAGAATATTGAATGAGCATCTTTTAGCCCAGTTTCTTAGAAGTTAGTTTAGCGTTAACTCAGGTTTTTCTTTAATTACCACTTGGTTTGTCTGGAGCAAAGCAAACCGCAAACCATGGCTTAGCTCTGGGTTGTGTAACAGCAGAATGACTTGGGGAGGGGCAAAGCAGCCGCAGTTTTTACATGCTTGCATGTTTGCGTTTAGCCATGGTTTGGGTTAGCATTATGTGTGAACTGGACCAGTATCTTTGGCTTTCTAGTAAATGAGTTAATGCAGTGTTTAATACCCCCGCATCACTATCCAAGTGCCCATTTTGCATCAGTATAATGATACATTAAAGATTGTTCAGATCCTGACACTCATATTACCAAAGTAATTGATAAAAGTGTTTCCCATGTAAGTTAGATTGCAGATTTAAATTGTGTCAGTTCAGTCCTCCTTGAATAAAAAATGTTATAAAACTCAATGCAGGATGCTACTATGGTAGATAAAACCTTACTGCAAAATATCATAACACAGCATGCACTATACATAACGATTTTGACTGCATACTAAACTCATTGTTTTGTTATTGCAGAACAACTGCTGGGCAAACATTGACCAGCCCCCATCCTCTGTTCAAAGTAGTATATTGCAGAAGAAAAGCTCACTATTATACTCCAAAGCCTTGTTTCAGAAAGAAACAGCTCCCTAAAGTCAAGAGCCGTGACATGGCAAATAAGGAAAATGAACTGGCATGTGCAGCTGATCTGCCAGCGAAACTGCCTGCTGACGGTCGTACTTTCTTACTAAACTCCAGTGATTCTGGCCGATCTCAAACAGAAAGTCCATCATCAAAGTACAGTGGATTTTTTTCAGAGGTAAGTTAAATGTTACATGATACTTGTTTTAAAATGAAAAGCTGGAATCTTAAGATTGCTGGCTTACTTCCAGTCTTAGTTGTTTAGTAGGGCTTGGATTTTGTAACCATTATATTTTTAAATGTTGGTCAGATAGCCTGTAAGGAACTGTACATGATAGCTGTAATGAGAACCAGCAGGATACAAACAGTATAAGTTGACAGTTGTTGGTTCATAGTGGCTAAATTGTTCCCATGTCTCTAGGTTTCAGAAGATCATGATACTATGGCACAGGTTCTCTTCAGTAGAAACCTCCGGTTGAATGTAGCTTTAACTTTCTGGAGGAGAAGAAGTATAAGCGAGCTCGTAGCCTATTTAATAAGGTAAATATGAAAAATGTCACTGGTATAATCTAGTCCACAGTGGTTTCAGTGCTTGTATGTGGAGGATTCCCACTCCCTCAGAGGCAGAGGGCTGGATGGGAATGTAGAAATCATGCACAGACCTCCCATTCACCTCAGTGGCCCATGTACTACTTTTGCAAGTATCCACTGAAAGGAGACAGCAGGACTCTAAAATTTGTTGGACTCAAATACAGACACTGTGTAAAGTTTGCATGTCTTTTTTTACTGCAGCTATTCTTAGTCTGCTGTATTTAACTGCATCTGCTGGCTCATAAATTCTTGAGCTTAAAAGTTTCAAGTCTAGAAGAATTACGTAGAGCTGTGTCTAATAGTGTACATTTTTTTTACTGATGTTTCCAGGATACAAGATCTGGGTGTAGTGGTAGACTGCCTTCCTGTTCTTACCAGCAGGTAAAAAATATACCTAGGGGTAGGGGTTTGTGGAGCTCAGATTTATAAGAGCAAGTTTATGTATACTGACGTTATCTTGTTTCAGTTTACAGGAAGAAAAACCATATATTTCTGTGGGCTGCTGTGTAGACCTTCTACCATTAGTTAGATTACTGCTTAAGAGCAAATTTGAAGAGTAAGTTTTAAAATATAATTCTCTTCATATGAATGTTTAGATGCTGACAGAGTAAAGGTTAATCTTTCGCTGGCTGGTCCAATTTTTTATGCTCTTTGTTCTAAGGGGACTGTGGGCTTTGGTTCTGAGACTGCCTTGATCACCCTATATGATTGCCTGTGTTTGGAGAAAGACAGGAAGGGGAGTCTGTTCCTTCTGAGACTTCTCTTCCTCCGGTATTCTTGACAATGACATTGTTCTAGAGTGCCTAGCCAGGATGGGAGCTGGAGGCACTATTTTGCAGTGGTTCTGCTCCTGTCTGGATGGCCAACTCCAGAACAATGCCATGGTCAAGAGTCTCTTGTGTAGAGCTCTGCAGGGTTCAGTCTTATAATCCATTCTATTTGGCGTCTTTATGATACAGCTGAGTGGGAATTATCCAGAGTTTTAGAGTCTGCTGCCATCACTGCTGATCAGACGCAGCACTGTTTTTCCTTTATAGCTTGAGTAGGTGTGGCAGTGGATATGCTGTCTGGCCTCAGTAATGGACTAGGCGAGAGCCAATAAACTGAATCTGATTCGAGACAAGATTTGAGATACCGCAAGTTGATTCCTCAGACTGGATGAGTGACGTGGATCCTGTTCTGGATGCCATCTCACTCTCCCTGAAGGAGCAGGTCCACAGCTTGAGGGTATTCTTAGCTCCAACATTGCTACTAGAAGCCCACGTGACATCCATGGGATAGAGTATCTTTCACCAACTTTGGCTGTTGTCCAGCTATGACCTTTTCTGGATGGGGATAGCTTTACTTCAGCTGTCTACATTCTGGTCTAGGCTGGATTACTGCAATGTGTTGTATGTGGGGCTTCCTTTGAGGACTGTTTGAAATGTAGTGGCCAGACTGTTAATAAAAACTGGAAGGCGTAAACCTAGAGCATCTGTTTTGGCCCAACTGCATTGGCTTTCAACTAGCTTCTGAGCTCAGTTCAAAGCACTGGTTTTCACCATTATTAAAGTTCCATGCAGGTCAGAACCCAATTACCTAAAGGACTGCCTTGTCTCATATGAACTTTCTCAGGCACTGTGTTTGCCATCTGAGGCTCTTCTTTGTTTTTTCATCTCTCCACCCCCCAGCCAAAAAAGCACTGCGAATCTTCTCTGTAATAGCTTCCTCCAGTCTTTGGAATGTTGCTCCCAGGGAGATACTCATGGTGCCCACTTTAATGTACCATATTTTTCGCTCCATAGGGTGCACCGGACCATAGGGCGCACCTAGTTTTTTTTGGGGGGGGGAATAAAGAAAAAAAATATATTCCACCCCCCAGCCCCAAAGAACAAAGAAGCCAAGACAGCAAGCGGGATCCATCCCGCTCGCTGTCTTGGCTTCCTCTTTAGCCACGCACAACCTCTCCAGCTGGGAGAGGCTGCACGTGGCTTTGTTCTTAGCCGCGGGGCTGGGGCAGGGGAAGCCCGAGCTTCCCCCGACCCCAGCCCCCAGAACAGGCAGCTATCCGCAAGCCTTCCGAGTGCAGCAGGAACTCCTGCTGAGCTCCGAAGGCTTGCAGATAGCTGCCTGAAGCCTGGAGAGCGAGAGGGGTCGGTGCGCACCGACCCCTCTTGCTCTCCAGGCTTCAGCAAAAACCTGCATTCGTTCCATAGGACGCACACACATTTCCCCTTCATTTTTGGAGGGGAAAAAGTGCGTCCTATGGAGCGAAAAATACGGTAATTTCAGTGCCAGGTTAAAGCATTTTCATTCTCCCAGGTATATGGGCAGCTTTGATTATATTGATGTTACAGTTACTTAATCCAAGCTTTGGTGTGGTTTTATCATTGTTACTGTATTGATATTGTGTATTGGTTTATACATTTTCATTATGATTTATTGTATTTATATAGTAAATTGATTTAAGACTTATTATTTATAAAATGATATGCAAGGCTAATCAATCTACAACACTATTATCCATATGCATGCACACTCTCAACTATCATCATCTTGATTGCATATTTTCTGCTTGTAACGTGCTGAAAATAGTTATGTTGTATGTGCTCATCACAATTCAGAAATTATAGGTGGCAACCATTTTGCACAGGGATTCCGCTCCTGGTCCCTGTGTATGTCGGTGATCACAAGCCTGCCCAGCCCTGTTATGCCTCTGTCCCACCCTCTTCCGGGCCTAAATGGACCCATGCGGCGGAAGTTGACATGTGCAGAAAGGTTGCCACCTGTAGCTCCAATCAAGCAATGGGTTCATTTTGCTTAATCCCATTTACATAGAAAGATGCACAAAGAATGAAACCTTCAGGTAGCTAGCCAAAGCAGTCCAGAACAAAATTCCTTCCAAGTACCAAATAAAGTGATCAGTTGGAACTAGTGTATGAAGCAAAACCCTTCTACTTTGCTTTTGAGGGGAAAATGCCTGTGGCCCTTATTCACATATTGTGGAAAGTTCCTTCTGTAACAACTTTCTTAATTCCATTTTCCTCCTGTTTCTATGGAGGAACATTTTGCAAATGAATTTTCTGTCTTCTTGAGTTTAAACTTCTCCGCAGCATTTTTTGTAATTCAAAATAAAATCATTTCAGATATGTGATCGTTGGCTTAAATTGGCTCCAAGCTGTTATTAAGAGGTGGTGGCCAGACCTTTCTGCCCATGCAGAAAAAATAGAGGATGGGTAAGTTACGCTTTTTAAAGTTCATGACAGTATGGCACTTAATATGACTTACATTTCTTGCTTTTTAAATTCACTCTGTTTTTTGCTTTACAGTTTGCAGATTAGCAGTTATTGAAACAGCCATAGTACCTGGAAATTCTTTGTTTAATATAATACCCCCAATGTACTATAGGCAATATTCTTAAAATGTCAAACTCCAAGCATGGTTTATAGCTGAAAACTGCAATAGAATGGCAGTCATTGTTCAGAGGAGATGATGTCAAGACATCTACAGATATTATGCAGTTAACTTCCACTCATGTAGTGTGATTTCCCCTTCTCTTCCCTTCTTCTGGACCAGATTTGGAGGGGTTCACCAGCAGGGTATAGGGAAGAGAAAGGAAGGGTATGTCCTGTTACACAAGCAGAAATCCATTGCACAAATAGGTGAGCATCACTGGATGCGGCCCCAAATATTGAATTTGTTCGTCTTTATAAAAATATTTATATGCTACCTTATGGCCCTCAAAGGAGCCCCATGGCAGTTTACAAACTTAAAATACTTTAGCTTTAATACACAACTGAGGCTTTGTAAAAGAGAAGAGTTTACTTTAATCTCAAATCTTCTTTTAATAAAATGTTGAAAGAATATGGCAACTTGTGTTTCAGAAGAAAAATGTGGTTTTATAAGTATTAGGTAACTGCTTAAAATTGGCTGTTGTTGCAAAAAGACAGGGATACTTCACTGTCTTTGAATGCTTTGAAAATATTTTGCTTCATCCCCCCCCCATTGAAAACCTAGTTTTACAAGTTTATTTTTGAAAATAGAATAATCCATGGACTAAATGAAAATATGTCTAAGGACATATCTACACTATAGACTTAAACTGCTTTAACATGCCATTCAGCTTTGAGGAAAACTGGTTCTCTGAGGAGACAGTGATCTCTAATAGGATCATCTCAGAACCTCTTCAAACTGCAGTTCTTAGCATTCTTTAGCGGAAGCTATGACAGGAAAAATTATATTAAACATATAGTAAGTATGTAGCATAGTTTAAATCTGTTAATCCCTACTAACGTGTTCATGAGTATGGATCAGAAATGCAAGAAGCTTCCAGCTGAATGGGATAGTTTAGCATGATATAGGAGAATAGGTTTTTCAGTATATTCAGTTGGTTTCTTTAAAACATTTTTTAAATTTCCTTAAATAATATATGTAGAATCAAACCACCAGACAATATTTAAAATATCCCACATCTCAACTGCAGATGTAGATAATGTGTTTTGATGGCAGGGGGGATCTAAATGCTTTTGGGGTGATTATTTGAAAGATAAAACCCTAATCAAAGCACTAGCAATAATTTTAACAACTGGATTATTGAGGAAATCATTTAAAAATTGAGTGCCTGAAACATTTTTTGCATATTTTTAAAATCACTACAATGTGCCCTCCTGTTCTCAGGTCAGAACTAGATTTTTGGGGTCAGATTGCTTGGAGCAGCACTGAAATCTATCAAATTAAACAATATAGCTTGAGATTCTTTTTCTCCCAGGATGTTTCATTACATTTTGCTTTCTCTATTAACCAACAGTTCTATCCATAAAAACTGGGAGAACTTTCTCCTTAGACTAAGATTCCCCCCCCCCTAATCTTTTAAAAAATATTTTTAGTTTTTACCTATATGTATTTTTTAATTTCCTGAACTGAAGTTGGAAAAACTATCATAGTAAAGGGGTGCTCAATTTAGGGATGCCCAAAATATAATTCCATGTGTTTGTCTTTCTTTCATAGAAATATTCAGATTTTAAAGACACAATTAAGTGGATTGTGGAAGCAAGAAAATCATCTTACTTTGGTTCCAGGATATACGGGTAATATAGCAAAGGTAATATGTTTGTGGTGTTCCCTCGTGGTCTCAATGTTATACAGCCTTCATTACAGTTAAGCTGTAGTGAGCTGATTTATTTTGTGGGGTGCTACTAAGCATTCGGAAGTCTGATTCTCTATGTAAACAGCAACCAACTATTTCTCTTTGTTTAGTTAATGTGACTGGGGCCTGCAAAGTGTTGGGGTGACTTTCCCTTGTATTAATTCATCGAACTGCTCTCGTTCTCCTCAGCCTTTGTCACTTTTAAAGTAGCCCATTAGTAAGCTGGATTGAATAAATTTGGCTTATTCTTTATTGTGGGTCTGCTCCTCAGTCTTTGCTTGGTAAGCATTTCTCATCCCTTGGCTCTTTCCTTGATCATCATCCTTGATCCTTGTTTTCTTTATTCTGGACCAGCTGCAGAAGTATCAAATGTTTTCCTTTCTATTAGAGGAGGGAGCCGTGTACGTGGCTCAAATGAAAAGGAAGAGAAGACATAATCGTAACAATCCTTGAAGCAATTCCAAAGGCTTCACATTATCTTGTCAACCTTGCCATAACCCTGTGAGAAGCAATTGTAGTATTATGTCTGTATTGCAGATAGAGCGCTGAGATCGAGTGTGAAGTACTTAATCAGCTTAGTGAGCTCCTTGTACAGGTGAAATTCAAACCAGAGACTTTCTGGTTCTATCTCAGTTTCCTAGCACTGATTCACCAGCTCTCATGAAAGAAATATGTATGGTTGAGGAGGAAAGAATCTCATCCTTGCCCGTGCATTACTGAAGCTCCTCCTGCCTGCAGACTTCTTCAGGTGTTATTACGTTGCCACATATGAGGGCAATGGGGACAAGTGCACTAGCCTTGGCCCCTCTTTGCCATTCTTGGTACACCCCCCCCCCCCCAGCTTTCCAGGGTTATATCACAAGGTTGACCTCTACAAGGAGATGAAGAGGGCTTGTATCGCGCTCTCGCTCTCCAAAGTGGAGGACACAAAAACAAAAGATTCACTTTTCTCTGTTTCAATAGCACTTGCTCAAGGGCTTGGAACAATTCTAGAAGGGATAATGAAAGAATCCATGCGCAGAAGGGAAGGATTTCCCAAGATATGTGCTTTAGCATAGCATCTATTGCTGGAAGAAGCAGGGGAGGGTTTGTACAGGGGAACTGAATAGTTCAACATCTCACCCTAGAGCAACAATTCCCATATAACATTTCAGATTCTTGGGGTGGCGCCTGCAGTGGGGTGGGGTACACTCCTATTCATATGGCTTTCTATGAGCAAGGTGAGATACTCATGTAGAACACGTTCACTAAATTCTAGTGATATCTGTGTAAAAGAGATTCTTCAAAAGTGACATTTTTGTCCAGAAGCAAATGATACTTGGCTGCATCAATTCAAACAGTCAGTGGTTGCCTCTTCTTAGATTCTAGCCCTACTTTGTGCAGTGAATGGCTCTTTGAATTAATTTATCTCTCTCTCTCTCTCTCTCTCTCTTTTTTTAAGGATGTGGATGCTTATTTATTACAGCTGCACTGACAGTCCTGGAGGACAAGTGTATGTGTACATGTAGTGTGTGTTGGCTAAGAAGCCCTTCAAGTAATCCTGAACTATGTACTGTTTCCAAAAGGACATCTCTTCTGAGAACTGTCTTTGGCAGGAGAGGACTAGACCGCCAGACTGTTTAATTCAACCACTAAAATCCATCTGCTTCACATTGAAGTGGAAAAATTTCTAATAGGAGCAACCTTTACTTCAATGAGGTGAAAGTGCACTATGAAAACTATACGTATGCCTTTGCTGCATTTTGGGATTGTTCAGTTACTGGATGAAGTCGTGAAAGTGTTTCTACTGCATAATGGTATAAAACAGCAAAACTTAATTGTGAAGACAGAATTGCAGAACCAGTTACTAGGAACCACAAGAGACCAGTCGCCATAAATATTTTTTAAACTTTGTTTTTCTTATGAATTGTAAAAATGTGTATATTTTCAAGATATTATGAAATTTTGCAATTTTGCTGTATTGAAACTCTGATATATGTCTGCTATATTAATCAAGATATTAAAGACTATTTTTGTTGCACTACTGAGAAACTGTATATAGCAAGGGGCCTTAACTACTAGTATTGCAAATAGCCAATGTAGTAAGAAACCATTATAGCCAATATATAAAGATGCTGTATAGAGGGATGGAAACTCTTTATTAAAAATCAGGGTGTTTACACAAATTGTGTACAAATCATTTTGAAACATTTTGCACACTTAAATATATTTAAGTGGATATATCCACTGACTGACTACTTAAATACCTGTATGACCTAAGAGTACTAAAATTTAGGCATAGAGGGAGGTTGTTAGCAAAATGGTGAATATGTACACCTAGCATTTTTAATACTTAAATTTTCTAATATATTCTGTTTGTTCCATTTAAATGTGTCGAGTAAACATACTAAATGTTACTACTGCTTTAATTAAGTTTGCATAACTTTACCTGGTTCTCTCACTCCGCTTAGGACATCTTCAGATATTTATAACTCCAAGCTCCTAGAAATGTTTACGGCCACGGTAGGCCTATGCTTTTCAGATTTGACAATGCATCTGCTACCTCCTCTAATTAATATTGCTGCAGCTCTTGCAAATGTAGTTGCCATACTCCTGACTTAACATTTAATCTTAACTGGAAGATTAATGCAATAATACATCCAGTGCAAAAGTTTACAGTTGTGTTTCTTTTTACTCATTTGCGATATTTTAGTTCAATCTGCTATGGTTTATCAGCTATATTAAAAAGGAAAACAGGTTGATGGGTTTGTGGGATGGCACCTGTGTCTTATGTTACTAGTAAATATGTTTGTCTAAATAAAATTCTATCGAGTGCCAGCTGTGCACAAAACAAACTGAAATGTATTTTTGCAGCATGCCAACCAAGTTGACCACCGGATTTAATTTTGATCTTCAGTGTGCTTTGTGATTGTACACCAGCTGCTTCTATACACAACTGTAGACTGTTAGAAAGAGGTCTCTTTTCATGTATGGTGCCATGAGAACATTTATGGTCAAAAGCAAGGAAGCAATATTTATCTATATAAGTGAACAGTAAAGACACTTGCCTCAATTTATACCAAGCTTCAGTAAATCAAGGGGGGGGGACCAAGAAGGCCTAGTTCTCTTGTCTTGGTTTATAAGCCTTTATAGCTGTGAGGAGATGGTCTTATGTCCTTAGGATCAGATGCATTAAGAATGTCAGTAGTGTACTGAAAGAACAGGAAATAGAGGCTTGTTTAAATCATACGTTCTCCCCTATGTTACAGAATACTTGCCTAGATTCTGGTTTTAAGGGGTTTCTGATTAGATTTTAAATCCAAGCTAATACTATAGTAGATTACACAGAAACACTAGAGAGGCAGCTGGAGGTGGAGAATTGGATGAGAGGGATGGAGCTGAGTGTCATCAATGTACAGTGGTACCTTGGGTTAAGTATTTAATTCGTTCCGGAGGTCCGTTCTTAACCTTAAACTGTTCTTAACTTGAAGCACCACTTTAGCTAATGGGGCCTCCCGCTGCTGCCGAGCCACCGGAGCACGATTTCTGTTCTCATCCTGAATCAAAGTTCTTAACCCGAGGTACTATTTCTGGGTTAGCGGAGTCTGTAACCTGAAGCATATGTAACCCGAGGTACCACTGTATAGGTGATACTGAAAGTCATGGAAAAGTGGTATGTCGGAGCCAGCCGTCACAAATGGCGCAGTTTAGCATAGAATAAAGACACAGAGAGCCAGCAATATTTTCAGGATGGTATGAGCAGCTCCTTTCGAACTTCTCTTCTCTCCCGTAACTTTTATTATCCTTTGTTCTCTCCTCTCGCATGGCCGTTTGCCAATGTCTCACATTACCTACATCCGGTCATGGCTTTAACCCACCCATCGCCTTATAGGGTCATGCACTTAATACACTGCAAGGCACGGACATGCAGGTCACTGAGGTCAGCGAGGCACCAGGTGGCGCTATAAGCCTTTTCCATGACTTCCTGGCTCCCACAGTGGTAAGCTTGCCGAAGGACAAAGTATGGTGAGAAAGAATAGTAGGCAACCAAGCCTTCTGAGGAATCCCAACAAGAGGGGAAAGCAGTATATGGAGACACTGAAAAAGCGATTAGACAGGAAGAGAGCCAGTGGAGGACAGCAGCAAGGATCCCCAGGGCATAATAGGAATCTAACCGGAAGGAACTATTAACTATCAAACATGACAGAAAGATCAAGGAGATAAGTACAGAGAAGAGGCTCATAGATCTGGCAGTGAGGAGGTCATCCATGATTTTCATGAGGGTAGTTCAGTGGAGTGAAAGAGGTGAAAGCCAGATTGGAGATGGTCAAAAGTAGAATTGGAGGAAAGATCGTTGTTATATAGGAGTAAGCAGCACAGTCCAGAAGTTCAGAGATAAAGGGGGAAAGAGTAGTACTTGGAGAAGGGACAATGAGCCTAGAAATGTGTTCTTTTTTGAGAATAGGTGCAATGGTGTGTTTGGATACTCGAAGGAGATGGTGCATAAGGGGAGATAACTGGAAGTTGGAAAGGGGCATGAGAAGGGGCAGAATGAAGGGCAGAGTAGACTGGTTCTATCTTAGCATTGGAGGAGGAGGCCAAATCTTGACCAGAGAGAGGAAGTGGGGAGTAGAGGAGTGGGCTTTAGCAGGCATTAAAGGTAGAGAAGTGCAGCTTGCGATACCTAGAGTTGGTGTGGAGGGGATGGATGAAGTAGTGCTGTTTAGCCAGGAGTAGCTTGGAGGATAAAGATGTTTCCAGGGCAGGTTACTTGCTTTCTCCTGAAAATCATTTGAAACACAAGTAACAGAGATGAGTTTTTGTTTTAAAAGTAATGTTTTAAAAATGCCTATGCTATTGAAACCAGTAGTGATGTATGGAAGTGAGAGCTGGACCATAAAAAAGGTTGATCGTCGAAGAATTGATGCTTTTGAATTATGGTGCTGGAGGAGACTCTTGAGAGTCCCATGGACTGAAAGCTCAAACCTATCCATTCTTAAGGAAATCAGCCCTGAGTGCTCACTGGAAGGACAGATCCTGAAGCTGAGACTCCAATACTTTGGCCACCTCATGAGAAGACAAGACTGCCTGGAAAAGACCCTGATGTTGGGGGAAATGGAGGGCACAAGGAGAAGGGGACGACAGAGGACGAGATGGTTGGATAGTCTTCTCGAAGCTACCAGCATGAGTTTGACCAAACTGCGGGAGGCAGTGGAAGACAGGAGTGCCTAGCGTGCTCTGGTCCATGGGGTCACGAAGAGTCGGACACGACTAAACAACAACAACAATGCTATTGAAAATGTACAATAAAATGAACGTACAATGAAAATGTACAATAACTAGATGTAAACACCTTGGAATAGGGTGGAGACATCTCCACCCTGTCAACACCCCCTGGTTTGTACACAAACAGGAACGGAAGCTGTGCTGATGTGAACAGCTAGAGGGGAAAGAGCTGTGAAACGCACCAGGAGAAAAACAACTTCACTGCGCTCTAAGGCAGTAATGTGAACACACCCTTTGTGGGAAGAAGTCCACATAATGAAGGGTAGACATTCTCTTTTTCACTCTACCAGTTCTTACTGTGCACAGATATTACACATAGATGATCTTGATGATATGTGGCTTTTAATAGAAGGACAATCCTTATGAGATGCAGGATTTAGGCCATTAGGGGTCAGTGCCCAGTTAAAGAACAGCAGGCTACAATTATACTGTTAGATTAGTTTAAGCAGACCAGAGCAAATCCTTATTTTGAAATTAAGAGGTCAGCATTTACTGATAAGTTTGATTTATAAGAGAACTGATGGTCAGCATGGCATTGTTAGAAATAACACCTGCTTAAGCTTTGACTGATTCCAGAAACTTGGGGACAGAGAGATTAAATAGAGCCAAAATGGAATATACTTGCTGAGCCAAAACCAATTCTTATATAGCTGCCTGGAACATTATGCTGGGAGACTACAATGTAATAAATGCTAGCAATAAAAATGCTAAATGGTTTCTTCTATTGTAGCTGTTAGAATAGATACACAAAATAGCTTGAAACCTCCCACACTACCAGGTTCCACACTATTGCCTAAATGATATATTTAGTACTCTTAAATGCTAGAAATAGCAATGGAGCTACATTTATTATATCAGACAAAGTGCTTGAAATGGAATCATTAGAAGAAGAAAAACTGCTTGTAGGGTCAGAGAGAAAAAACAATAGTTTCATTTGCATCCATTTCCCCAACATTTATACTTACAGTGGTACCTCTGGTTAAGTACGTAATTCGTTCCGGAGGTCCAATCTTAACCTGAAATTGTTCTTAACCTGAAGCACCACTTTTGCTAATGGGGCCTCCCGCTGCCGCCACACGCGCCACCGGAGCACGATTTCTGTTCTCATTCTGAAGCAAAGTTCTTAACCCGAGGTAATATTTCTGGGTTAGCGGAGTCTGTAACCTGAAGCGTATGTTACCCAAAGAAGAATCCAGGATTTTAGCATACCTGTGATGCCATGTAGAAACAGAGGCATGAGTCTGAGGGAGGACCCCAAGGGCCACAAAAATTGATAATGCTTTAAGAAAATGCTACATAACTTTGAGAAAAAGCTATGAAACTGTTAAGAATGCTAAAGCTTTGAACCTGCTGAGAGTGCAAAAGCCCTTTCCCACAGGAAGAGAAGAAGCTAACATTTTTATCACAGAACTTACGCAGCTAAACACGCAGGTTTACAAAGCACAATAGCTTCATGTAACAATGTTTCTGTATGGACAGCAAAACAGCCGATGCTTATGCTTATTGCCCAAGCATACTAACCTGAAATGTATCCAACAATTAGGATGAGGTAATGTGAAATACTTATATGCATATGATTGGAAAGGGCTTTGTGTAGAAACTTATAAATAACCTCCCTAGACTGCTAGCTGGGGGTTACAGTTCTTGCGGAAGGGTCCGACCATAGCTGTCAACCTTTCCCTTTTTTAAAGGGAAATTCCCTTATTCTGAATAGGATTCCTCGCAGGAAAAGGGAAAAGTTGACAGCTATGGATCCGACTGTAACTTATTGCTTCCTAAGTAATAAAATGGCTCTATCTCCTCCAGGTTCCTCAGTCTTATTGACAACAGAGGGTTTTTTATAGGGTTTGACCCCTTTCTACAAGTCCACCATCTAATTCAGATTTTATGTGAATGTATATGGGGGGGGGCAGTAGAAATGCTACACTACTTACTGCAGAATATGAACTGCGTGAAAAGCCAGCATTGGTGGGGCTGCGGATGGTTTAGATTTTTAGCTAAATATCCCCCACCCCACTCCACTTAATAATAATAATAATAATAATAATAATAATAATAACAATTTATTATTTATACCCCGCCCATCTGGCTGGGTTTCCCCAGCCACTCTGGGCGGCTTCCAAAAGAATATTAAAATACTGTGATACATCAAACATTAAAAGCTTCCCTAAACACCCCTCCCGTTACAGGCAACAGCAAAGATTAACGTTGCCCACTCAGGCCCCACTCGCAGCCCATATCCAGCCTTCAGTAGAAGTGTTATACCTTGCACTGAGTTTGCACTGAGCAAAAATAAGTTCTCTTGAAAAATACATTCCGCCCCCCCCCCCGCATTAAACAAGACCTAAATTACGAAAAGCAGGCGCTCATCCCGATGCTGTAACTTATTACTCCTCTCTTTATTTTAGAAGACAGCTGAAGGCAGCCCTGTTTAGTGAAGTTTTTAATGTTTGATGTTTTACTGTGTTTTTAATATTCTGTTGGGAGCCGCCTAGAGTGGCTGGAGAAGCCCAGCCAGACGGGCGGGGTATAAATAATAAAAAAATTTATTATTATTATTATTATTATTATTATTATTATCAGTATTAAAATTGCTGTATCGGATGTTTTTGGCGTTTGACGAGTGGCTGGGGAAACCCAGATTATTATTATTAATTATTAATAATAATAGAAATACTGTTGCCCAATCATAACTACCCTGAAACCCAGCAATGCTCACTACTATTATTAATAATAATATTAATAATAATATAATAATAATAATTAATAATATATAATATAATATAATGATGATAATAATAATAATAATAATAATAATAATAATAATAGAAATACTGTTGCCCAATCATAAATACCCTGAAACCCAGCAATGCTCTCTATTATAATTAATAATAATAATTATTATTATTATTAATAATAATAATAATAGAAATACTGCTGCCCAATCATAACTACCCTGAAACCCAGCAACGCTCTCCCTGCTTTTCGCCCTGCGGCTCCTTTAAGAAACGTCTTCAGAAGAAACCCGGAAGTTGAGCTCTCGCATCCTCGTTCGTCACGGCGCGCCCCTCCACTTGGCGCATGCGCCGCCGGGGACGACGAGAGCGGCCCTTCCTTTCTCCCGGTCTGCTCTGTCGCCGCCTCCTCCCCCTCCTTCCCGGCACCTCCGGCGGTTGCTCTAATGGCGGCCCGGCCCGGCGGCCTCCCGGGGACGGCGACGACGATGTTGCGGCTGCTGGTGGCGGCCTTTCTCTTGGCCGCCGGCTCGGGGGCTTCGGAGGTGGCCGGGGGCGCCGCTAGCGGGGAGGCTGTGGGCGCCAGCGAGCGGTTTAAGATCGAGGGCCGGGCGGTGGTGCCGGGGGTGAAGCCCCAGGACTGGATCTCGGGGGCCCGGGTGCTGGTGGACGGCGAGGAGCACGTCGGCTTCCTCAAGTGAGTAGCAGCCGGGGAGAGAGGCTGCCGGGAGCGGAAGGCTTTGCGGGGAGAGGGAACGGATTTGTTTGCCTTTTTGGATTCAAACCCCAACCCTCGGTCTCTCTCCCGTTTGGTGCCCACAACAACCTTGCCAGGTAGGCTAGCCTGGCAGAAAGTGAGGCCCCCCCCCCCGAGGTAGTTTAGGGGAAATTCCAACTCGGGCCTCCCCATTCCTCGTCTGAGACTACTAACCACTGCATCATAGTACGAAGTTGCATCACCACCAACGTGTGCCTACAGAGACAGACAAATTTACTTGAAGAGATGGCTGTCTTTTTCTTCTGATTTCCCCCACACGTTTAAAATCTTAACAAATAAAAAAATTCCTTCCAGTACACCTTAGAGACGAACTAAGTTTGTTATTGGTATGAGCTTTCGTCTGCATGCTTGGTATCTGATGAAGTGTGCATGCACACAAAAGCTGGTCTCTAAGGTGCTACTGAAAGGATTGTTTTTATTTTGTTCCAAGTACGGCAGACCAACACAGCTACCTACCTGTTTAAAATCTTAGTTCAGAAAAGAGTCACCTTTCTTGAGCGCGGGGCAGTCCATCTTAGGGCATGCTTGTTGCCACTTAGATGAATGCAACAAATGTTGCTCATTTCAAAGGACAAAGAACTGGGAAACTTTTCCTCAAGCCTTTAAGGATACTGCTCTTTTTCCTGAACTCAAAAAGCACCGTTAAGCAATCACCAAACACCTCCTCTTTATTTCTGTAGTTTCTGTTTTCCAGCTTCTTGGTTTCTGCTGTGTACAGAGACACCTGCAGGTACCTGCAGTTGCCAGTGTGGTGTAGTGGTTAAGAGCAGTAGTCTCATAATCTGGGGAACCAGGTTCGTGTCTCCGCTCCTCCACATGCAGCTGCTGGGTGACCTTGGGCCAGTCACACTTTTCTGAAGTCTCTCAGCCCCACACCTCACAGAGTGTTTGTTGTGGGGGAGGAAGGGAAAGGAGAATGTGAGCCGCTTTGAGACTCCTTTGGGTAGTGATAAAGCGGGATATCAAATCAAAACTCTTCTTCTTCTACCTGCACCCTGTAATGTGCAAGCATGAATCCTGACTGTTGTTTTCCGCAGAATGTGCATCCCCATTCTTAAAGTTAGCTTGTGCAGTAGTGTGCACATCTAATTGCTAGATAACATTATTTTTCTGAGATAGCAGGGTCACTGGGTGTTTTTTTTGGGGGGGTGATGAGTGCTTTCTAGATTCTAGAATGTAGTTCTACAGGTATCTCTACTACCTAATAGGTGGTGCCTATTTCAGTAATGGCCAGTCTTGCACAACTCCTTTTCCACCTTGTGGTGTTGTGACCTCATCCTGCAAGGAGGTGTCCTGGAGCACAGAAACATATGTACATACTTTGAGTGTTGTCAGTTCCAGCTCCTCTTTGGAGACTCGAGTGCTCTGTATCACATATGTTTAGACTGAACATCATCCTGTATTTTAAAAAATGACAGACGATATGTGCAGTCAAGAGAAAGCAATGGCTATCCTTTCTATAGCAAAGATTATGCTCCTGCTCTTTATGTATAGGCAGGTTAATATTGAGAGCAAGATTTTTCTGGGATCCTTCTCAAGAGTTTTCTGGTTGAGAAACTGCGTCCAACAAAATTGTCTTTTCCATACATATATACACATAAGATGGTTTGAAAAAGCCATTCTGTACTTATGAGGATTGCCTTAGAACACTCAGTGTATCATGGCTGAGCCAAGATTTTCAATGGAAACGTCCAGCTCCCACTCTTAAGTACTATGCAGCACCAGCTTAGTGGCATTGTAAGTTAGTGAAATAGAGCATTGTGTTATGAATTAATAGGTAGGGTTGGTAATCCCCCTCTTGATAGGATGATAGCTCTTTGGTCTAATAAAGCTTTTTTGTTCTGTGATGCAATTAAATATATGATAATTTTTATTTTTCAGGACAGATGGAAGCTTTGTAGTTCATGATGTTCCTTCTGGATCATATGTAGTTGAAGTCATATCTCCAGCTTATAAATTTGAACCAGTGCGAGTGGACATCACTTCAAAAGGGAAAATGAGGTGAGTGGCTATAGCTTTTTTTATATAGAATACTAAACCAAACGGATTTGCTATGGAAAACAGGGCTGGTTGGTCTGTTGGTAAGGCCTTAAACATTTTTGATGTTCTCTCAAATAAATAAATAGGCCTTAAAACTCCATAATTATTTGAATCCTCCACAGTTGCCTTCACTACAGCTCGTTTACTGCTGGCAAACCACAATCTGAAGCCTTGGATTGGTGGTGGTTTACGAACCTTGTTTTGTTTTAACTTTGGCTTGCTGTTATGTACAAACCCAACATCCTTCCATAACCATCGTTTGTTTGCACATCACAGATGTTCACCAAGCTAGAAAGGCATAGGGCTAGAAAGAAATCAAGCTTTAGAGAAACAAGCCATGCTTTGTTTGATCATTTTGGGGACAAATTTGTGGTTAATATGATTTGTTAAACAGACTGTGGCTTAGTGTTGGTTGTGAACCAAGCTCCTAAATTAATGTATCTGAAAACAAAACTTCTGCCAGGTGTGGTGTGATATATCATGAAAAATTTACTTTTAAAGATACACAAACTATATCTGAAGGGGTTGGATCTAGGCTTGCACATTTGTTCATGGAAAGGACCAAGATCCATTGGTGGCTTCTGCTGAAATAAGGAGGTGGTCATTTTAATAGATTTCCCTTTCTCCCTGCAGGCCCCAGCACCCCTTTCCACATTTCCAGATGCCCCCCCCCCAAAAAAAACCCTCCAGAGTACCTTCTCAGCAGTGCTGCAGGAACTGGCTAATGGGGAACTGACTAAAATAACCTCTTTACTTTAACAGAGCTTTCTATCCACAAGTTAAAGCCACCTGGTTAAGCTAAGCTTAACTCAGTTTCTGTTTGGTGCTAATAGTTTACAGACTGTTTTTCAGCTATGTTTTCCTCACTGAGAATATCTGCACAGTGATTACAGTGGCTTACAAAGTTCTTTTGAGTCTATAATCTTTGACATTTAATGCTAGACATATGATCACTGCTAATTTGTTACATTTGTGAGATCTGTCAAACTTAATTTGTCTGATACTGGATTTTGCTAAATCTGTGATGAGTGTGTGTGTGTGTGTGTGTGTGTGTGTGTAAAATGGGTTGCTGTTGTTTTTCAGTAGCACCTGTTCTAGTTGCTATCTCCAAGGACATGCAAAATAAACTATTTTCAGGCCTCTCTTGGGAAAATAAAGTTTCACCAAGTAAACACATTTGTTGGGATATAGATGCACATCTAATGCAGAATCTCTTATATGAGCAGGCGACCAAGCCACGATCCTATATACAATTATGGTACTTTCTTACAATCAAATTTTAAGCTGCTTAACTATTGACAGGATTATCACTTCAGTTCAAATGCAGTGACAGAGAAAATATCTAACCAAGATAATTTGTTGGGCTTTAATGGAGAAAGATACTTCTAAATGTCTTCTTCAGGGCAAGATTTGTGAATTACATCAAAACATCAGAAGTTGTCCGATTGCCATACCCGCTTCAGATGAAATCTTCTGGACCACCTTCTTATTTCATAAAGAGAGAGTCTTGGGGATGGACAGACTTCTTAATGAACCCCATGGTATGTATGGAAACAGGTGCATATGAACTGCTTGTTTGCCACTGATTAGCTGTTTATTGCCTATGTTTCAAAACCTATTTAAGGACCCTATTTGTAAGATTTAAGGGTAAACATTTAACAGATTATATGTTAATATGCCACTATTAGAAGATAATTTATCAAAACAAGACTTGTTTTCAGGCAGGTATCTCTTGGGTGCAGGAGAGGCATCTCTAGAGGGAGGGATGGTTACATCATCTTAACAGGGATTTCTTGTCATACAATCAGCCGGGGGGAAATTATGAAGCATTGTAGACCTAAATTGGCATCCCCACTGCCAGTTAATTTGCTATGCATTTGCAAAAAAACCCTCCAGCCCTATTGTATATAATATTTTTGAAGTAAACTACGAATGTGTAACTGTGTTTTGTAGTAGGAGTCTTAAAAGTGTGTTGATTTCTAGCTTGCCTCAGCTAGAAATTTCAGTTGAAACTGGAAGGCAGAGTGTGTGGCAGAGGAATGTGTTATAGGTTTGTTGTTGTTTTGAGGTTGAATATAAAACTGAAGGGCAGTTTGGGACGCTGGTTGCTAAAGCAACCACAGGTACCCATTAATCCTGGCTCAGTGCATATGGTAAAGGTAAAGGTACCCCTGACCATTAGGTTCAGTCGCAGACGACTCTGGGGTTGCGGCACTCATCTCTCTCTATAGGCCGAGGGAGCCAGCGTTTGTCTGCAGACAGCTCCGGGTCATGCGGCTAGCACGACTAAGCCACTTCTGGTGAACCAGAACAGCACACGGAAATGCTGTTTACCTTCCCGCCAGAGCAGTACCTATTTATCTACTTGCACTTTGACGTGCTTTCGAACTGCTAGGTGGGCAGGAGCTGGGACCGAACAACAGGAGCTCACCCTGTCGCGGGGATTTGAACCACCTACCTTCTGATTGGCAAGCCCTAGGCTCTGTGGTTTAGATCTCAGTGCCACCCGCGTCCCAATGCATATGGTAGGACTTGTTAAATGGAATAATTGAACTAGCCCTAGATACAGATGCTTCAGTTATGCAGCACATTAAAAAAAAATTAAAATACCACACGCTGTGATACTTGGATATAGATCCACTCTCCCCTTTATTTGTATATTGTTGAATAATAAGTTAGTGTCTATTTTGACTGCTAAAACCCTGCCAGAAGAAATGGTTTCTCTGCTGCAGTAGTAATCAAAGGATCTACTCAAGGAGAGTAGATCTTGACTGGCTCAAGACTATGGTCATTGAGCCCCAACATGGAGTGTTTTCACCATATTTTTCATTTTTGGTGAGATTTCTAAATATTGGAATTTCTGTGCAGCCTCAGGCATATGTAGCTGCCTTTGGAGCTGTTGACCCCATCTAAGTATGTCACTGAGATGCGCCACTTGTATATCACTGTAAACCATCGTTAATATTTTACCCACAATCCTAGGTTTGGGTATTAATCTGATTCACGGAGTCATAGTTTGTTTCCTGGTGGCCATTCACAATATAACTTTTGAGGGATTCTTCTTTTATTATCTATGGTACAATACGGCAGTACTAGAACTGCTGCATAACAGAAGAAATACTAACATATTTTTTTTAAAAAAATCTCCTGTTTAAGGTTATGATGATGATCCTTCCATTGCTGATCTTCGTATTACTTCCTAAGGTTGTCAACACAAGTGATCCTGACATGAGGCGGGTGAGTAAGCTTTGCGAGGGTTAACACTGCAAATATTGTATCTGAAGAAACCAAACCAGTCCAAATAAGTATTACAGTCCAGAAAGTGTTTGGGAATGGTTTTTCTATTACCACTAAGATAGAAATACAGCTGTGGGCCAGAAATACAAGCTCTCTAATAATGCTTAATTATTCAAATCTTTATACAGAAAACATCAAATTCTAAGAGATGCTAAATCTAAATTGTGTGCAGTGTAAACTTTGTATAATGTATTCAATGTATTATTTTCAGTCCGGGATAAGGTAGAAAGTGAAAGAACACGAAGAGAGGGCTTTAAGAGGCTGGTGAGAGATGTAATATGAGGAGACCAGGAAGCTGCAGCCTTAGTGTCATTGGACTGAATGAAACTAGTGTCTGAGAGCTGGTGTGTGTTAGGACAGTCCGCTTCATCTCAACAACTTTCCATTCCAGCCCACAAAAGGGACCAAGATCTGTTTGATCCCACCCAGACACAATCATACAAGATAACTCTTAGCTGCCCACTCATGCCGTTATTGAGAAGCAACAGAGAGTTGTACTTGGACATCTTTCATCAGTTTTAGGTTGCCTTTCCGGTTTGGTTCTAGGAGCAGTAGAGGCTGTTGCAACAGCCTCAATTTCTGCCAAACCTCTTTGGGTGTGAGCCAACAGCAGCCACTCTTTTTCCTGCTGGCAGAAGCAGCAGCTGCCTAAAGATTCCTTGCTGCTGATATTAGGAATTAGCATGAGTCTGTTGGCTTATAGGTGGTGAAAAATGTTAGTCAAGCAGAGCCCACTGGGCAGAAAAATAAGTATGTCTTGGTTCTGGATGGGGAGCAGGTGTCGTTTTCTACCATCATTTTGATTTCTTGGGCTGCACTGATTCCTTCATCTGCCCATTCAGTGCTATGGCCATTTCACCACTAGTTTGTCATGAAAACAGAGGCACTCATTTTGAGTTACAAAAATAATCTACCAGTCTCTTCCTATGTTGAATGAATGTCTCTGAGACTATTTCTGATAATTTGTGTTATCGTCTCCTTTTCTTGCCTATTGCAATTAAAACAAGAATTCACATCCTAGTCACGTTCTTCTGTGACAAATCCATTATGACAGAAAGTTTTAAATATGATATTTATTAAATTATCCTAATTTATTGTCCTTTCACCATGCGTTATGCCGAATAGCGGAAGGCTAGAACAAAATGGAGATTCAAGGTGTTTACTAAATCTTCTTTATTTAGCAGTATCTACTGTTTGTCTTTGGCTGCTGCTTTTTGGGGTTCAGTTGGTATTAATTTCCTTTCCTTCTAAATGACCACTGTCTTCAGTAGTTCCTTACAGGTTGCACATTATTTTTGAGTTAATAGGTATAACATTCTAGATCATGAGATAGATGTTTAAATCTTCCATTTTAACTCTGGCTGCACACTTATCTGAGAATAAAGTGGAACTTACCTCTGAAAACTTGCAAAAGATTGCATTGTAAATGTTTAATATAAGGTTAAAAGTGGAGGCAGATCAACTGCTTGATCTGATGCATTTGCTGATGTGAATCAACATGCGATCTGCTCTCTTGGGCAAGAAATTGATTGCCTAATGGAAAAGTGTAGTTGACAGAATCATGGACCATGTCCTCTGTGGAAGACATTGGGTAGGCTGCAATAGATGTAAAATGTTCTGTTCAATTTTGAAAGGCTAGGAAAAATTAAATGACCTACCTCAAATCGGGCCCAGATCTTTTAGCAGACATATTTTAATAGAAGGCAACTGTTGGAAGGAAATAGCTTTTCAAAAAGATGCTTGACATACATTGCCATGATAGTTCAATTTGTTTTAAACAATTTTTAAGAACTAGTGTGCCAATTTTTTTAGCATTTAAAAAGAAACTTTTTAAATTTGAAATTGGGAGAGATTTCAACCAAACTCATCTTTTAAAATTTTAATATGGCAATCCTTTATCCTGTAACACTACTTTAGACATGGTTATCTCTGTTTTTTGCTTTTAGAACTTCCTTTTCATTTATTTATATCAATATAACACAAGAGATTTTTTTTTAAGTTGTAGTTTAGGCTGTGGCTGTATAAAGAGTCTATAGCGGGGATATATGGGTAGAGAACAGCTGCAAAATGACACCACTACTGAAAGAACAATTAACCAATTTGGCGTATCTTTACGATTTGGAAATGGTTTTACTTAATACATTCTTCTCTTTTTGTATGCGTTTAGGAAATGGAGCAATCAATGAATATGTTGAATTCTAACCATGAGCTGCCTGATGTGTCAGAGTTCATGACAAGACTTTTCTCTTCAAAATCTTCTAGCAAGTCCAGTGGTAGTAGCAGTAAAACAGGAAAAAGTGGGGCAGGAAAAAGGAGGTAGTTGTTTGTTTCTCTGGAGCCACAATTTGCACAGCTCTGTTATGTGGTATCATCTATATGTTCTGTGGAAGAACAAAAAAGCCACTACTGTAACCTAAATCCAATGTGAAATTGGACATGATACAACTGTTGTGTGTGCTGTAGCTTTTTAACCTATTTAAATATCTTGTTCTTTAAACACATGGGGACATTGCTTCACTTCTGTATCTCTGTAAAGACCGATGAAGAGTTAACTCCTTTGTAGAGAATGACATTAAAGAATTTAAATTATGTGAAATATATTGATGATTCTTAAAACATCACTGTAAAGCATCTGATTTCAAGAAACCAAGTGTCTTTAACCCACTGTTCTTAACTTACGTAGTCTATAAATGCACAATATTTTTCTTAACCTAACATTACTTGTGCTTATTGAAAGAGAACCTCTTTTGATTGATTTGTTTTTATTTGAAGCATTTTTACACTACTCTTCAGGTGAAAAGGAGTTCCATAGCTGCTTACAAAGGTCATTAAGAAGACAGCTCCTGACTTTGGGCATAGAATCTAGAACATACAACAATGTAAGGAAAAGGGAGGAGGAAAAGGATAAATCCAGGCAGTACTTCAAAATTACAATGTACTTAAAATTGGAAGCAGGAATAGAAGCAATTAAAGAGTTGAGAACTGCTTGTAACAGCAAATATAGTGGCCCTGATTCCCTTCTCTCTTTCCTTTGGTACCAGTTCTTAAATTGCCACACTAGTTTTTGTGGAATACTTGTGATTTTCCTTTTTATTATGGAAGCATTTTTGAGGGGAAACTGTCCCACTGGGAGTGCCCTCATGTTCCTGTACGATCCCTCGCTGCTTAGAAACCACACGCTCTCTTGCCTACCTTCTACCACTATAACATATTAACAAAAGCTTTGTGAATGTAAGTCTACACTGGTTTATCTAAAATGTTTTGGATAAAAATTGTTGACCATTTCTGTGCTTGAGACACTAGTTGTTACCTTGCGCCTTAGCAGAAACAACAGAAGAACCTAATGCTGTAGCAAGTATGCGCAACAATCAACAGACAAGAATCCTGGCAGGCAAAGGAAACTGATACCCTAATCTCACATGTTTTATAGGGATGCTAAACCTGTGGCCCCATAAATTCCTATCAGCTTAAATTCCTATCAGCTCTGACCTGTGGTCATGCTGGCCAGGAATGATGGGAGTAGTAGTACAGACACATCTGAAGCTCCACAAATTCCTGATTCATGGGCTAGAGCAGGCTTCCTCAACCTCGGCCCTCCAGATGTTTTGAGACTACAATTCCCATCATCCCTGACCACTGTTCCTGCTAGCTAGGGATCATGGGAGTTGTAGGCCACAAACATCTGGAGGGTCGAGGCTGAGGAAGCCTGGGCTAGAGAGTATAAATGGTAGATGAAGAGCTGAAGGACAGGAAGTTTAGTTTTTGCCCTGTGAGAGACATCATTCCACTCTTGGCTAGAGCCTCTAAAATGCAGTGCATAGCCAGTAGGCATGGACACCCAACAGCCTAGATCGGGCATGGCCAAACTTGGCCCTCCAGATGTTTAGGACTACAACTCCCATCATCCCTAGCTAACAGGACCAGTGGTCAGGGATGATGAGAATTGTAGTCCCAAAACAGCTGGAGGGCCAAGTTTGGCCATCACTGGCCTAGATGTTAAACAGCATGGGAAACAGAATTGACATTTGTTGGACCCCAAAGCCATGGAGCCAAGCAACAATATCCTAGTACTACTTTCTGGTAGCAGTCCTCCAACTCTCACCTCCTTGAGTTGCTACTGAAGAACAACTCATTGATGATCTAGAGCCACTGAGAAGTCAAGGAGAACCAACAAAGTTGCATCCCTGCCCTCTGGACACTCTCTTGACAGAGGCCATCCATTAGGACAACTATGGCTGTTTCTGTGCCAAACCCAAGCCTGAAAGAAAATTAGAATGGATAATTTGCTTTCTCCTTCAGTACCTGCAGCTGGCTAGCCATGCTCTCAGTCACCTTGCCCAGGAAAAGATCATTGGAGATTTGATGGAAGATTTTAAAAACCTCTTCAAGAGGGGTTACACCACCTCTTTCAAGGCAGTGGGTATAACAACTTGGCATTTTGAAGTAAAGTGCCACACATTTTAAAGGACTAGTTCATGAAGGTGACTTTCAAAAGCCCTTTGAATACATGGTATGTCCAGAAGTTATGCTATCAATATTTGATGGTATGGAAGGTCTCGGGAATTTATTCCACCCACTCTTTCTATATCTCAGCATAGATGGTTGCTTGGGATTGCATGTATGTCTTTCCACTGCAAAGCTTGAGACCTAGGGAAGTGGTGGTATCAGCAACATGAATGTGTGGGACCCAAAGTCTTTCCTCCCAAAATTCTAGGCTGATCCCATTGTCTCTTTCTAGAAGAATTATATGTTGTGCTGCATCTAGAGCAATTGGACCCTAAACTGATTATTATTACAGAATAAATTGCTCAGTCCAAAGCTGATAATGAGACTTTAAGAGTTGTTTTGAGATTAATTCTACCCATGACTAAATTGTCTCAATTTGGGATACTTTTAAAGGGTCTGCTGGGGCCATGTAATCAGCATTAGCCTTTAACATGAAGGGGTGGAATTAATTGAACAACTATATCATCTGGAGTGTTTTCACAGACTGAAATAACTTAATCAAACATTAATAGCAGCAGGGGAGAACTTTTATATCTGAGACACAAAATAGAAAAGGTGTTGGTTTATACAGATCACGGTTATTGCAGAAAGGAGAACAAAGCTCACTGCCTTTTAGCATGAAGACCAGCACTGAACCAATATGCCATTTATCACAACTGCTCATTGAAGAAGTTGGTGGGGGCAGGGAGCAATTGAAGCATTTGAAGATTATTACAGTGCTGCCTGTAACTCGAATTCAAATGAATCCAGATATATAAATCTACATGTCTTCATAGAAGTTCCTTTGCTCTCAAATGAGCATAGAGGATTCTTAGACAGGATTTCAAAAAATAGTGGCTGGGCACGACTCGCAATGTCTTCCATAGGAAAGGCTAATTGCAAAAGCTTTCTGTTTGTTGAAGTGTGCTGGGCAACCTGTGGTCCTTCAGATGCTGTTGACTCCCAACTCCCATCAGCCCCAGCAAGCATGGCTGATGGTCAGGGATGATGGGAGTTTTAATTCAACAAGAGCTGGAGGGCCACAGGTTTCCAGCCCTTCTGCATTGGTTGGTATGGTGGGTCCGTATGATGGAATGTTCCTACGCTTGCATTCTAGAGTGGTTGAAGGAGTCATATGGAGAAGTGGGTAGGAGAGCAAACCCCACTGACCTGCCTGGCTTGGCTTAAGATAGCCAGTGGGAGGCAGTTATGGAAGAAGCACACAGATCCGCTCTGCAATCTCTCAGATAGCAACATGTGGAACGGTGGGCTAGCACTGAGTTCATTGGCGTGGCTCTTTGCTGCACGGGCATGTTTTTTAAATGCACCTTGTTGATAATAGATCAGATCAGTAAACACAGCCTTCCAAGGAAATGAGACAACATTCCAAACTCATTCACATGATGTTGGTAACAGAGGTTCTGTTCAAATGCAAGTGTCTCCTAGCACTTTCCAAGGGTAGGTGTGCAAACTGGAGGAATTTGAATAGGACAAATAATTATGAAGTGGATGGAGAAAAGAGACCAAAAACACTGCAAAGCAGAATCAGAACACCTCACCTGCAGAGGCAGAATTGGTCTTTATGAATGTATTTATTTTATTATTGCTCCTACTGCATACATAGCAATTGCCAGATGGTGATGTCTACAAGAAAGGAGGATGTGAACTATGGCATTGTGTTCCAGATATGGAAGGCGTTCACTTCTTAAACATACACTATCTCTGAACATGGCAGAGTAAATTATTCCAGCAATTCTAATGTTCAAAGAGTTGTATTCTCCACCATCCTGACTCCCTAAAGCTACCCTCTTGGATTCCTTGTTTGTGTTTCCTATATACCATTCATCCCATTCATCATAAACAACCATGTAATAATTTCTTTATATGTAACTCTCTTTCTTTGCAGGGAGTGGGATCACTCTTAGTTAATGGTATATACAAACTTGGCCAGCGAAGACACTGGACGTTAAAAGCATCATCATTTCTAATGTAACTGACTGCATTGTAACAATGGCCAGAATCCAAAGTGGCAGGCATTGTGCTATGGGTACGTGCAGGAAATCTTCAGCTTTCTCCTTCCAGTGACTCTCCCTCACCCTCTCCAAAAAGTCCCCTGAAAGTCAGACCCTTTAGAGCAAAACCCAGTTAGGTACATGGGTATCAACCACCTCCCTCGCATACACGCACACCTGGAATTGTTTCTCATGCATACATGGGCCAGTCTTGATCACAGCCAATGTGATTTAACGTTTCAATTAAAATCTGAGGGTCAAAGTATGGCAGTTTGCTTGTTTGTGCCATCAATATGCACAGTGTTTTACAGAGCTGAATAGGATAGGTCTTTGCCTGGAGTTTATAATCAAAGAAGAAGAAAAAGAGGTGGTCAATTAAGCTACATGTACTTAGCTGCATTTACAGCAGAAAGCATTGGAATGTTCCACCGTCCAGTAGAATTGGACAGCAGTGTTTTGCTCTGGTTTCCTTTGGACCACATCAGCAAGGCTGAGAGGGGGGGTCGTGTCTCCTGGACAGCCCAGTACCTCCATACACACTACCTAGGCTTGCAGTGAATTTTGCTTCCAGGTTTAATTCAGAAAGGAAGTGTGCCTCAATTATTAAAAGCTTGAGAATCATTGGATTGGAAGGTATGAAATTGTTCTACTGATTGTTTAATATTGCATCTCAAAAGAGATCTTTAAGAGATTGTTAATTTAATTATCTAGGTTGAGATTAAAAATTGTTCATAATTGATAAAGTTAAAACAATTTACCCTGTTTAATCCTCCCTAGCTAGTACTCCTAACATATGGAGTTGCTTCCCCATTCCATTCAGCAAGAAAATAATTTATCAAAATTCCAGCAAGCTTGGATATAGGACCCCACCTTCCCATGCAATCTGTAAAGCAGCTGCCCTTGGAAATGCGTTTATCTTGTAGCAATTATCTTGTCCTGCCTGCTTCTTTCATAGGCGTAGGCGTTCCAGGCAAATATATACTTACTCAGCTAGCTGTGACATGTCTAGCCTTCTCTTCACTTGGGTAGTATGGCACAAAGCAGACATAACCCTACAAGAGCTGCGAGAACTAACGATTAGCTTTTGTGGCAAGCAAATGGACCAGTGGGTCTGGCTAATGAAATGTGAACCTCTTTAGTGGAACTATGGTGGTTCCATGACTTTTCACTACTAACGTCTTAAAGCAGCCTTTTCCAACCTCGGGTTCTTAGATGTTGTTGGACTACAACTTTCATAATTCCTAGCTAGCAGGACCAGGGATCAGGAGATAATGGGAGCTGTAGTCCAACAACACCTAGGAACTCGAGATTGAAAAAGCCTGCCTTAAAGAAATAGTGTCAGTTGACATAAAAGGCGGATCCGTTCATATTGAGATTACCTGGGCTTATTGCTGAGCAGGGCTGGTGTGAAAGAGCTATTTGTGTTAACCAGGGCCCATAGGCAATGGACTCTCATTCACTGAAGGTTTTTAAACAGGGGTTGGGTGGTCATTCGTCAGGGATTCTTTAGCTATAATTCCTGCATTGCAGGAGGTTGGACTAGATGGGCCTTGGGATACCTTCCTTCTCTACAGTTATATAATTCTACATTTTGATGGCATATATGCAGCTGCCGCTCTTACTTTCTCTTATAATAGCAGCACTTTTTGAGCTCGTGCTGTTGCAGGAATTAGAGTGACCACATGTAGTCCAGCAACTAGCTGAGGCAGTAGCTGATGCGAATGGTGCCTCCATGTGAGCCTGACCTATAATAAATAATAATAATAAATTTTTATTTCTATCCCGCCCTCCCCAGCCGAAGCCGAAGCCAGGCTCAGACCTAGTGGTTCAGACAGACACACAGGTAACGCTATAAGGCAGGGATGGAGAACCTGTGCTATTCCAGGTGTTGCTGGAACCAAGATCCCATTATCCCCAACTAGCATGGCCAACAAATTTTGTAGGGCCGCAAGTCCACCATTCCATAACATCATAAGAATAGCGTTGCTGGATCAGACCAAAGGTCCATCCTTTCAGTGGGAGCCTCCACGACCCACAAGTGGGGCCTGGATGCTATACATGGGCTGAAGTCTAACCACCGAAATGCATTAATTACCAGTAAAATCTCAGTAAGAAGCTGAAGATATTATTTTAATTAAATCATATTCTATTGCATAACAAGGACATAAGAAGATAGGAAGAGCCTGGAGGATCAGGCATGTGTCCCATCTAGTGCAGCATCCTGTTCTCACAGTGGCCAATGAGACACCTGTGTGAAAACCTGCAAGCAGGATCCAAGCACAAGAACATTCTCCCTTTCCATGGTTTCCAGCAACTGGTATTCAGAAGCATATTGCTTCCATGATCCATGGGAGCAGAGCATAGCCTCCATCAATGAAGGACAGAATAGAAAATAATAATAATAATAATAATAATAATAATAATAATAATAATAATAATAGATAGACTTAACGTATGTGAATTTGTCAAATTCTGTTTTAAAGCCATCTAGGTTGGTGGCCATCACTGTGTTTGGGAAGGGGTGGTGGCCAGGTGTGGGGAAAGGGGGTTGCAAAGGTGTCAGGGTTGGTTTGCAGAGCGAGCAGGTGTGGGTGTGTATGTGTGTGTACACAAGGGAAAGAACACTGGTATGTTTGCTAGTCCATTCAAGAATGTTAGGTGGCCTCATATTGACACGTGAAGAGTGATTTGCAATTTGTTTAAGAACAAAAAAACAGCAGAGAAAGGAAAAGGGCTTCAGTGTAGTCAAGGCAATGTCCTTTGTCTGTCTTTTGTGGGTAAATGTTACACTTTCCCCTTCTGTTGCCCTCATTAAAAATGAAAGGCAATAAAAAAGGCCTACCTTTAGGAACCCGCTGCTAAAAAGGACAATTTCGCAGGCAATTTACAAATCATCTTTCCCTACTGAGTCTCTTCTGATAAAAGCTATTTTTCTGTGATGAACTACAAATAAACCCTACACTTTGGAACTCATTTGGTGGCCCCATTTCTATACCTTTGTAATAAATGGTTAATGAGCCAGATTGCAGCCATTTGCTATCAGTGTCTTTCCAGCTAAACTTTGTCCTGTACCTGCTGCTCCCCTGATAGGACGAAATGACTGTTTCAAAGACAATTGCTTGCAGGATTTCGGCATCGGTTTTCTTTTAAATGGATTCATGCTGCTTATTCTCTGTTGTATATTTAATGTTCTCCCTGAAGTTAACATCTCTATATTTTTATTGCCTAATTTTTATATCACTTTCTAAGACAAGAGTTCACATAAGCTATCTAGAAGCAGACGTGTGGGATATTAAAGTAGTATATTCAGTGCTGAAGTAGGACATTAATAGGAAATTATTCCTCTTGCTTTTTGCTACAGCCTGAGTACTTTAGAAATCACACCCCATTTGCTCCTTTTATTCCTATGAGAACAGAGGCAGAAGCATAAAAATATTTTCTTGTGTGTTAATGAGTTGTTCAGCACCAGGAAAATGTGGACCCTGTAACTGAAATAATTATTACAAAGCCCGGCAGTCCCCAGACTGCTCAGGAAAGCTGTGGTGATAATGTACCTGGGCCTACACTTATACTGAGACCTTACTAGAGTCTTCAAAAGTTGTGCCATGACTGACTCACAAGTGGTTCATGACTTAAGATGGACCACACCAGTGCCAGCATTTTATTTTATTTTATTTTATTTTGCTGTGTTTCAGTTCTGGTCTACACATGTCACAGAATGAGGTGGAAAAGAGGTGATACAATGGGCAGTACCACTTCATATTTCAGGCTGGAGGTCATCAAGTTCATATATAGGAGGATGACAAATATCATGTCTCTCCACAGTGGCTAGGAATCTGACCACCCATCCACATGTTCCCTGGGCCACTGCTCTGGGCGGCTGGGCAAGGTGCCTTGGCACAGGAATTTGGTTGCTGGCATGGGCTGTCACAGCAGACCTGGGGGGGCACCCTAGTTGGCTCAGAGGGAAGAAATATGGAGAGAGCAAGTGAGAGTTGCAGGAGGGGGGAAATGAAGGAAGGGAGGAAGGAGGCAGAAGTGAAAGCAGCAAGCAGAGGAAGGCAGGAAGGCAGGCAGACCCATGGAAAAAGGGAGGGAGGTTGAGCAGAGGAGACCCAATCTCGTGGCCATGGAGGAACTCACAGACAGAGCTGCAGAGATGATGAAAAGTAAACTTTTTGAGTTTCTGGTCCATGGTTTCTCCTGACTTTGGAGGTGCTGATACAACCTTCACATACAAATCTTCACATAAAAGACATGTTGAAAGGGGAGGCCATAGCTCTCCTCTGCTATTTCTCCCCAGTAAACCAAAGTATGGATCACTCACAAACACATTTGTTTGCAAACACACTTAAGCACTTGATAGATCATGAGGTGACATGTTATGGCAATAGCTCTGGATGCAGGAGGAAGAAGCAAAGGTGACAGGGCGGGTAATATGGAGCTTTTCCACAATAGTCAGCCATCAGTGCACATGAAGGAAACTAGTACAGTGGTACCTCGGGTTACATACGCTTCAGGTTACATACACTTCAGGTTACAGACTCCGCTAACCCAGAAATAGTACCTCGGGTTAAGAACTTTGCTTCAGCATGAGAACAGAAATCGTGCTCCGGTGGCGCGTGTGGCGGCAGCGGGAGGCCCCATTAGCTAAAGTGGTGCTTCAGGTTAAGAACAGTTTCAGGTTAAGAACGGACCTCCGGAACGAATTAAGTACTTAACCCGAGGTACCACTGTAGTGCTCTCTAGCATGCCCCATTTCCCTCTATTGATAAATAGTTCAGGCGCAATATACAGTAGTATTCAACTCATGTATTTTCTTTTTTATAGTATATGTATTGTGTGTTATTTATGCATCTTTAATACTTGTCATAAATTAATGTATTGTTTCTCACCGGTGCTGGGGTGTGGTCCTTGACAAAGATGCCAAGCCTTGACACTAGCCCTTGCAGCTCTTCCTTCCGTATTGATCCTCCTAGCTATTTTTGGACAGGAATTGGAACAGGGATTACTCTGTTGTCCCTCCCTCCCCAAACCAGTTGATTCCACACTAGTGCGCCGCCACCCGCCATCCCCACCCCCTGCTGAGATTCACTATTCAGAATAATTTCATTAGTGATAACTTTCTTACAATGAAGGGAACTTTGGCCTTTAAAGACGCCTATTTGTGGATACGTGTCAGAGTAAAGTCCACCGACCAGAAGACTGATACACTGGAAATGTAAAGCTTTGTGAAGACGGCTGGCTTTTCCACAGTTAAGATAGAGGTCTTGGGCTGAGCTGTTTACCTAGACTGCAGCAGTAGGCAAAGTGCATATCCAAATAACTACCCCATAGATTAACGTGCAGCTCTCACCTGGCCAGTTGTCAGTTTAAACAAGAAAGGTAAAATTATTCTATTCTCTTTGTTTTGTTCAGTTCGCTAATCTAAAGCTTCCTTCTATATTTACTGAATAACTTTAATGTCAGAAGCAGTAAAGAAGTATTGTTTATTCTGGGGAGGAAAAACATTTGACCCTGTCTTTCCACCCTTTATGCAGTCTTGTTTTGGTTGTAATGAATTTATGTGTTTTACTGGTTTTCATAATGCTTATTATCTTTTTGTAAACTGCCATGGGAACCTAGGGTGAAGGTTAGGTAAGAAATCTTACAAGTAATTCAACCAATCAATCAATCCATCAATGTAAGAACCCTCTTCTAGGGTTGCAGTCTTATACACACTTAACTGGAAATAAGTCTTGCTGAACTCTTTGGAACTTACTTCTGAGTGGACATACAGTATATAGGATTAAATTTCTCAAAATTAATGAGAATTTGAATCTTGGGCCAAATTCAGGCAGCGGAACTATAATTTTGTACAGGATTGCAGCCTTAGTCATAGAAAATCATGAGCTCATTATGAGATCACTGCTGGTGCTTTATGTAAAAATGTATTCAATATTTGGGGCGAGGGGGCACACATTGCTTTTGGAAATATACCAAAAGAGTAATTTCTGCATAGGGAAGACACAGCTCCCTCCCAAATATGATAGGAAATTGTATATTACTGCTTGGGATTAAGTTAACAGTTTGATAGGTGTTGAAATTAAGAACAAGTTGGCTTGAAGTACATTTTAAAGCGTCATGGAATCCAAAGGGTTTTTAAAAGTGCAAGTGGTGGTTTGTACTACTTGTTGTTGTTGTTGCTGTTTAGTCGTTTAGTCGTGTCCGACTCTTCGTGTCCCCATGGACCAGAGCACGCCAGGCACTCCTGTCTTCCACTGCCTCCCGCAGTTTGGTCAAACTCATGCTGGTAGCTTCAAGAACACTATCCAACCATCTCGTCCTCTGCCATCCCCTTCTCTTTGTGCCCTCCATCTTTCCCAACATCAGGGTCTTTTCCAGGGAGTCTTCTCTTCTCATGAGGTGGCCAAAGTATTGGAGCCTCAGTTTCACGATCTGTCCTTCCAGTGAGCACTCAGGGCTGATTTCCTGAAGAATGGATAGGTTTGATCTTCTTGCAGTCCATGGGACTCTCAAGAGTCTCCTCCAGCACCATAATTCAAAAGCATCCATTCTTCGGTGATCAGCCTTCTTTATGGTCCAGCTCTCACTTCCATACATCACTACTGGGAAAACCATAGCTTTAACTATACGGACCTTTGTTAGCAAGGTGATGTCTCTTAATGAGCAACAAAACATGAACCCTGATGGGCACTTGTCCATACATAAAAGACTAAAGTGTTGAGGCTTGAAAACACTGTCACTTGGACATTATGCTGTGGAGTAACAATCATCTCCACAGACAGCTTGTCCAGAGCTGACGTTTCTGGATGCTTAAGTTCTTTATTTCTGTGCAAAGGCTTCCTTTCAGATGTGGTCCAAGGAATACAGCACATCAGTTCTGATAAAGGAGAGGTGTGCTTTTTAAAATGGAAACCTTGACATGACATTATTTTCTATCAGCTCTTACCGTGCACTCAATTGTGCTATATCACACTGATTGATAGCAAAACAAGATGAAACGACTTCTGTGTGACAGGAAAGTTCTACATGTCAAAGAAGTAGTCTGTCACAAATGCACTGTGACATGTTTAAAAAAAGCCCTGTGTTGCCAAAGAGAGGGAAAAAAGCCCCTTTTTTGGCAGATCTTGAATGCTGAAACCAGGTGTTTCAATTTCTCTTCAAGAATTTCTCTCTGGATGCAATCAATCTTTTAATGCTAAATGCCAGCCTCTATTATGTTTGCAGCATCCATCGACCTGACTGAAAGGCATCTTCAAGGGAAAGAATGAATCTGGAAAAGTCAGCAAGATGTTTTCTGCTGCTACTCTTTCAATGTGGACTATGGACAACTGCAGAAAAGGCCTTTGAACTTGCTAATTCTCATCTGATTCCGCCAGGAGGCTATAAGAGACTGATCAACATTAACGCAGAAGGTAATTGTGGTATGCCGGGTATGTGTGTGATTTAGAAAAGGGCAATCAAAATTATGGAGGGATTGATGAATGTTCCCTATGAAGAAATGCAAAAGTGGGAATTTTTAGAAAGAAAAAAAAGTGTTTTCAGGATGTGTGCAGAGAATTGGTACAGAGAACATTGACAAAAGCGTGTTTTATCCCTCTCCCATAATACTAGAAGTCAGGGTCTCAAGATGAAATGGATTGGCAGTAAATTCAGGAAGTCCTTTTTCACTTATACTAACTTAAAGAAAGCACTTCCACAAGATGTGGTGATGGTGACCTCTGGCTTAGATGGCTTTAAAAGGAGGATTGGGCAAACCCATGGAGACAGGAGCTATCATTTAGCTAAATAGAACCTTCACATATACAAAGGCAGGAAGCTCCTTGCCACAGATACCACCTGAGCTTGCACCTACAGTGATGAGTCCAGGAGGGCCTCCAAGCTACAAACTTGGTCATCTCACCTCTTATACACCCTGCCAATCACTGGGCTCTGCAGGTGAGGGCCTCCTACAGATGCCGTCTTATCAGGAGGTCTATTCCATACAATAGGGACGCAGGTGGCGCTGTGGGTTAAACAACAGAGCCTAGGACTTGCCAATCAGAAGGTCGGCGGTTCGAATCCCCGTGACGGGGTGAGCTCCCGTTGCTCAGTCCCTGCTCCTGCCAACCTAGCAGTCCGAAAGCATGTCAAAGTGCAAGTAGATAAATAGGTACTACTTTGGCGGGAAGGTAAACGGCGTTTCCGTGTGCTGCTCTAGTTCGCCAGAAGTGGCTCAGTCATGCTGGCCACATGACCCGGAAGCCGTACGCTGGCTCCCTCGGCCAGTAAAGCAAGATGAGCACCGCAACCCCAGAGTCGGTCATGACTGGACCTAATGGTCAGGGTTCCCTTTACCTTTACCTATTCCATACAATGGAGGAATCAGGCATTTCGTGTTGTGGCACCTACCCTTGGGAATCTCCTGCTCTTGAATATTAGACAGGCACCACCTCTGTTGTCTGCTGAAGACCTTCATCTACAATAAGCCTTTTAAATTGATATTTTCCCCAGTCAGCATATGTACTGGAATTGTTTTTAAGAAGTTTTTATTATTTTATCACTTGCTGTTTGCCATCATGGGCTCGTTTGGGAAGAAGGGCAGGGTATAAATTTAATAAATTCTAACAATAAATACAGGGTAAGCGCAACCCCATTCAGAATAAACTGCATCACTCCACCCAGGTCTCCCAGCTTCATAACCTGCAGCACCTCTGTCTCATCTGAATTTACACCTCAGTTTGTTTGCCCTCATCCACTCCAAAAATACCTTGAGACATCTTTTTCTAAGACTCCCTAGGATTTGCAGGCAGAAATGAGAGTTAGAGCTGGTTGTCAATCACATACTGGTGATTTTGAAGAACAAACCTCCAGATTTTGAAGAACAAACCCCTATCCAACACACACATGGAACTGTAGGTATTATACAACATGGAGGCCATAAACCTGAGGCACCCCAAAGGCCAGAGGGCTTGGGGTAGAATCAAAGTCCTCCAGCACCACCTTTTGGTACTGATCCTCCAGGAAGGAATAGAGCCAAAGTAACACAGTGCCTTCCATACCCAACCTAGCAGGATGGTCCAGAAAGATACCCTGGCCAATAGTAATGAATGTCATCGAAAGGTCAAAGAGAATCAATAAGGTTGAAGTCCCCTCGTCCAGTTCCCCTGGTCCTCCACAAGGGTGACCAAGACTGTTTCTGTCTCAAAACTAGTCTGAAAGCCTGGTTGGAATGTAAACAAATAACCAGTTTCCTTCAACATGGCCTTGAGTTGAGAGGCCACCATGCTTTCTATCACCTTGTCCAAAAATGATAGGCTTAAAGATGGGCAAAGTTTGTCACAGAGGGTTCGGTCCAAAGCTGCTTTCTCAAACGTGACTTCACCACCGCCTCTTTCAGCACAGTGGAGATCACGCCCTATTTCCAGGACGCACTAACCTCAATTTATATTTTTTCTGGTGCTCATCACCATAGAAGCAGGGAGCTTCCTGAACAGCATTTTGTAATCTAAGCATAAAACTGTTTTTATTTAATAACAAATGTGACGGTTTTCATTTTCAATTTGTTATAAGGATCTCTGTGCCTTTTCTATGGATAGATTATAGTACCCTTTTCTTCTCACAGCCACATTCCTTGGTGTTCAATTATCTGGAACCTAGGGCTAAGACAAATACAGTGGAGGTTGGTCCATTGAGACACTCAACAAACTCAGCCTGGTATCCTTACCTACATCCGGTCTAGTGGGTAGCACTGACTTCCAGCTTCCTCCTCCGCCTTAGTTTCAGTGTTGCCCTTGTCGAACTCAGCAGGAAGAGGATGGGGACAAAACCAGAATTAGCTGGCCTTGGCTATTATTGACGCCATCTCCACCTACTGTTGTCCTTCCTGCCTTCTGTGTCTCAGGGAGCACCAGCCTCCACTGATTCTCCACTGTGATACAGCTCCATATGTTGGCCATGTCTAATATGGAAATAGCTGTTTTTCCTTCTAAGAGGAAAGAGGCACCCATACCGCACAGACAGTTCAGGGTACTTTTCACTGATGGGTAGATGCAGTGCCAAGCAATTACGAACTGTTCCATTCCTTAAGTGTGTATCGGAGTTCTTAGGAGTTGGGGGTTCTGTACTGGGAGACAAATAATAGTTGTCAGAGAGGAGATTTCTGCAAGAACTATTATTTCTTTGTTAAGAGACACGGATGAAGGGGAGCTTTGTAACACATCCTCAGAATCTCTAACGATAGGCTGAGTCATCTCCTCCTCCTCCACTTACAGAGATTGAAAAATTAGCTCTAATCAACCGTAACTCTTCCAGCTCTCAAAGTTGCGACAACCAGCAAACAGGGGACACATGGTGTACTGTTTCCTATTTGCACATCTCTGTAGCTAAACAAAAGGCACATGCCCAATTTTGAGAATATAGCAGTTTCTTCCCCCACCTACACACCATGCATTTAAAGCTATCCAACACACATTTTAAGCATAGGACTTCCTCCGAAGTAATATGGGAACTGTAGTGTGTTGGGGTGATGGGAATTGTAGCTCTATGAGGGGAGGAACTACAGTTCCCAGGATTCTCTGGGGAAATACATTTTAAATGTGTATTGGATGTGCTTTAAATGTACAGTGTGGATCTGTTTCTCTTTCTCTAATGTTAAACCTAGACTTGACCACAGTGAACTTTTGTGTGTGTAAAACTTCACACTTCACAACTGATTGTGCTTTGAATAATTTGCTGACTTGTCAAGATATATATTTGACTATATAAATTTTGTTTTCAATCTGCAGAACTGTAAACAAAGCTTTTGTCCCTTCAAGGTCACTTTCAGCCCTTCCTAAGTTATGTACGGGACGCGGGTAGCGCTGTGGGTTAAACCACAGAGCCTAGGACTTGCCGATCAGAAGGTCAGCGGTTCAAATCCCTGCGGCGGGGTGAGCTCCCGTTGCTTGGTCCCTGCTCCTGCCAACCTAGCAGTTCGAAAGCACGTCAAAGTGCAAGTAGATAAATAGGTACCACTCCGGCGGGAAGGTAAACGGCATTTCCGTGCACTGCTCTGGTTTGCCAGAAGTGGCTTAGTCATGCTGGCCACATGACCCGGAAGCTGTACTCCGGCTCCCTTGGCCAATAAAGCGAGATGAGCGCTGCAACCCCAGAGTCGGTCACGACTGGACCTAATGGTCAGGGGTCCCTTTACCTTTAAGTAATGTACATAATGCTTTTTTCCAGTGTTTTGAAATTAACAGTTTATGTTTTGTTCTGGATTTTCTCCATTTCCTTTTAATAATTAATTTTAATAATTAATAGATTATTTATGATGAATTGTATTTACTCTTTGATGCTAACATCAGTCTTTTCATGTGGATTTCTACTTGTCAACCTGTATGATATTTCGTGAGCAAATATTTCTATTCTTATCCATCATTGTTATTACCTTTTGTTTACGACGGTGCTTAATAATAATATATTTTTAAAATTGTAGTCACATCACAAAAAAGAAACTATGTAGAACTGCACAATATATGTGCCTCAGATCCTGACAAATTAACAATTTCTTACATTTGAGGGCAAAAGTCCATTCTTGTGGAAGCTTTTAAGCCAAGCTTACGGGATTATAATGTTAAGCATTCATTTATTTCCATGCAGAATATCCACGAGACTGCAGTGAGATCTTTAAGCAGTCTGAAGAAAACTCCAGAGATGGTCTATATGTCATTCAGCCAGCAAAGGAGCCTATTGGCGTGTACTGCAACATGCAAGATGGTGGCTGGACAGTAATTCAGCACATTACTGCCAACAGTACGGTGGACTTCGATAGGACATGGCAGGACTACAAACATGGATTTGGCACAATTAACGACAACTACTGGTTAGGCAATGAATACATGCATCAGCTAACCAGCTCTCCAAGGCCATATGCACTTAGGATTAAACTTGTAGACCTAAATGCCAATATCAAGTGGGGAGAATATGAGCCCTTCCGCATTGAAGATGAAGCCTCTCAATACCGAATCAGGCTTGGTCTGTATAAAGGTAATGCCGTCGACGCCCTGTGTCGTGACACAGAAGCGTATCTCCATGATAACCAGATGTTCACAACAAAAGATAGAGATAATGACAACTATTTTCAGAACTGTGCCAAACTTGAGTACAACGGGATTGCTGGGGGAGGCTGGTGGTATGATGCTTGTGCTGGAGCGAATCTAAATCGCAGGAATGTCATCTACTGGCAGCAGGACTGCAACAAAGAGCATGTATGCAAGTATGCCTGGATGATGGTCAAGCCAGCTGACCACAGCCAGGAGTGGCTCAAGGCTTGCCCTGCCGAGAAGGAAGAATTGTAAGCAACAGTAAGAAATTAAATCCAGGTGGAGAGCTACTGTTTCTTCAGCTTGTATGTAGAAGCCGCCTTTTTCGTTTGCTGGGATTGTGTTTCAATATATAAATGAAATTAGACCCACCACAAAAATAAAGACCACATGACAAGATGTGAAAAATGGAGGACCCCAGAATTTAATTCCCCTCTTCCTCCCATTCCAGTAGTTAATCTTGAGTGATGGCCCAATAGTGTGAGAGAGGTCTAGACATTATTAATATTCTGGGAGATGTGAGTTAAATAGTGTGAGATTACCAAGCAGTTGTGAGCATAAGTAACAGAGGATAAGTGATAGATTGAAAATATGGAGAGACAATTAAACATATAAATCCATAAGATATATTTAGCAATCAGGAGAAATAAAATATGGATATTACATATGCTTAAAGGGAAAGGGTATACATTAGGGACCTTGAAAAATCACGAGACTTGCAATTATTTCCTCTGCTTTTCCCCACTGTTGCCCGTGAAAATACATATTTTCTCTTGCCTTTCATCTTCAACAGTTCATGCAAATAGTGTTGTTTAAGCTGTTGCTGTCTTCAAAGGAAGGAAGGAAGGAAAAACAAAAGCAATTACTTTAAAGTCACAAAGCTGCACGATCCCATCGAAACAGTTTGCTGTATGAGGTTCCTCAGGTTCATGAAGTGATAAATTAGGCTCTTAATGATAAAGGTTCACAGCACAGCAAAAGAGTTGAGAGGCCACAACAATATATCTTTTTTTGTCCATATGGCAGTTTGGTTGCTATTGTGAGCAAAAACAGGGTTGCTTGTCAGGAAGATTGCAGCACTGGATCCTCCTGTAAGTAATTAATCACCAAATACTTCATAAAGGCAGAAGAAATGGTAGCTGATAATATGCATTATTTTCAAGAACAGTTCCACTTCATGAATGTTGAAGGAGATTGGATGCACTAATGTGCATATCTGAGATATTCCATCCAACAGAGGGCAGTGATGTATGTGAGTATTATCAAGAATACTGTATTGCAACACAGTTTTAAAGATTCATCTTTTGTGCAGGGACAGTTGCAAATGAATCATAATTTCACAACACCTGTTTGTGAATGCATGTGCTGTAGTTTCATTGTAAGGGTACAAAACAATCTTTTACTGACTTTCCCTTGTCATCTATTTTCAGCTAATATCTTTTTAAAAGTGTAATTAACATGTATTTTCAGAGCTCTCATCATTACCTGTATCTTCTCTGGCATTTTCATTCCTTTTTTAAAATTCTTTCAGATGAGACTAAATATACAGTGGTGCCCCGCAAGACGAATGCCTCGCAAGACGGAAAACCCGCTAGACGAAAGGGTTTTCCGTTTTGGAGGTGCTTCGCAAAACGAATTTCCTATGGGCTTGCTTCGCAAGACGAAAATGTCTTGCGAGTTCCTGCGGGGTTTTTTTCCTCCCCCCCTTTTTCCCAAGCTGCTAAGCCGCTTATCAGCTGACCCGCTAAGCCGCTTAACAGCTGATCGCTAAGCCACTTATCAGCTGATCCGCTAAGCCGCTTAACAGCTGATCCGTTAAGCCACTAAGCCGCTTATCAGCTGATCCGCTAAGCCGCTAATCAGCTGATCCGCTAAGCCAGCTAAGCCCACTAACCCGCTAATAGCACTAATCCGCTAAACCGCTAATGGGCTTGCTTCGCAAGACGAAAAAACCGCAAGACGAAGAGACTCGCGGAACGGATTCTTTTCGTCTTGCGAGGCACCACTGTATCTCTATTGTCACTTACTTGCTAGCCTATATTTGTAAAATAGCAAAAACAAGATTTTTGTTGTTGTTCTTATTTAATGGCAACATTCTACCATTCTCTCATTCTGATTACAGGCCCCAGATTATTACTATTACAGACCTCTCTGGTAGTTATACTTTCTCTATAAACCACAATGGTATATATAGTTTGCTGTACTCAACACCAGGAACATTTAACCAAAGTAGTCTGTATTCTTACTACTGCAAAATACAACATTTTATATATAAAATTAATGAGAGTAACTGCAACCTAATTCTCAACTGAGCCCATAAGTACAAGTTCCTTTCATGAGCAGATGAGATAGTTGGAGGTGTGAACTCTGTGATTAATCTCTAGGTAATTAATTAATGGAATGCCTTTCATAGTGTTTTGCCTCTTCTTTGAAAGATGTCCAGCTATTGTGAATCAATTCATTTTAAAAAGGATTGTTAAATCTCTGTGTGTGTGTGTGTTTGTGTGTAAACTACAGCGACATCTACAAAGATTTTAGATTAACAACTACAAAATGGAGAGGGGGGAAAGTCTGTATGTCCAAGCAAAGAAGGGATGAAGTGTACAATCAAATACCAATACTGATAATTTAAAATCCCCAGTATAAATGGACTCACACCTGATTTACTACAGGTGAATTAAGAATTGGGCCTATTGTGTGGACAAGTACACATGGATATGCACTGTTTACACACATCAAACATAATCCAGTCAAAATTATTCACTGATTTGGATACAAAGGTGCTCATGGTTGACCAATACAGTGGTGCCCCGCAAGACGAATGCCTCGCAAGACAGAAAACCCGCTAGACGAAAGGGTTTTCCGTTTTGGAGGTGCTTCGCAAAACGAATTTCCTATGGGCTTGCTTCACAAGACGAAAATGTCTTGCGAGTTCCTGCGGGTTTTTTTCCCTCCCCCCCCTTTTCCCCAAGCCGCTAAGCCGCTTATCAGCTGATCCGCTAAGCCGCTTAACAGCTGATCGCTAAGCCGCTTATCAGCTGATCCGCTAAGCCGCTTAACAGCTGATCCGTTAAGCCACTAAGCCGCTTATCAGCTGATCCGCTAAGCCAGCTAAGCCCGCTAAGCCGCTAATAGCGCTAATCCGCTAAACCGCTAATGGGCTTGCTTCGCAAGACGAAAAAACCGCAAGACGAAGAGACTCGCGGAACAGATTCTTTTCGTCTTGCGAGGCACCACTGTATTTTAGCCAAGTTCCCTTTTCCTCTCCATCTATTTGCCTACAACACACCTCATGTCATATTTTAAAGGTTTTCCAGTCCTCATGAACTGCTTTTGGGAAGATGCAAGGGATCGCAATAGGAAGGGAAAGACAGGAAAGTCACATTCCATGAAGAGGATTAGTACTAATCAGGATGCAAAGTACTGCTTTTTAAGGAAGAGAGTTACGCATGCTCAAGAGTCAGTATAAACCACTGATCTTCAACATGACCCAAAACTGGATCATAGCCTGATCTAAGGTGAGTTGCAATGGCAGCAGTACCACTATGCAAATTGAGAATGAAGAAAGGAGTCTTCCAAATCCATGTTTGGGTTAAGGATCTAGAAAGTTTGAAGACTACTAGTCTAAACAGTTAAAAAAAGTACATGGTTCAGGTGCCTGAGGACCATACCCTTTCAGAACACAGGCAAGAAAGGCACGTGTTTGAATGCTCCTCAGTGTAAAAATTCAACACACATAGTAAGCACATTAAAGCAAGGATTAACCTTTCTTCCTGACATGCTAGATTTCCATGGATAGGAGTGGTTTGTTAGGAGTTTTTGCATTGTTATACCCTTCCTGTAGTCTGAAAGGGTATTCTGCTACCATGTACCTTTTCTAAATCTATGGATTGGTCCTAGTCATGGATCAGCCATCATGGATTACTCCACAAAGGAGTGGAGCGGGATCTGAAAGAACAACACACTTAACATGAGAGGGTGAGCCAGAGGTGTTTTCCTAGACCATCTTGGCAAGATTTAGCCATTACTGACTATATCATCAGTATGGGGAGATGCCTCAGGGCTTGACAGTATGTATGGAGAACGGGGGGGGATTTATTTACACCGCAGTATTCTGGCTATAGGGGAATGGGATCATCTCCTGTTCTTCTGTATAATGCCCAAGACCCTACTTATACCCCACAGATTTCTCCTCAAGTAAATGTCACCACTGTACTGTAGGAAGTGGCTCTCCTGGAACTCTGGCTCAGGAAAGTGCCCCTGAAACTTTCAATATAATCTGTTTAGACATATCCAAATATATATATCCTACTTTTTCCTCTCACTTCTGTTACCCAAGGATACTAACATCATGTAAGTTTAATACAATCATATAATATTAAAGCAGCAAAACACAGACGATGATGCAGTAAGTTTTTTTAAAAAAAACAACTTTAAAAATCCATAAGGAGAAGCCAGTTGGGTCAAAGGCCTGCTGGAACAGACAATCCTTAAATTCTATATTTGAACTCTGCTATCGGGTGCAGACAAATCTCCCAGGACAAAGAGCTCTGAAGTCTGGGTGCTATAACAGAAAGAGGTATTTCTTTTGTTCTCACCAACTGTACCTGGAAGACAAACCAGGACCTCTCTTGATGATCTGAGTCTCAGACGGAAGGAGAATGTTCTTTAAGGGGTCTGTTGCTAAAGGCTCTTATATTATCCATCTGTGAAACACTAGAACACCAGTTTGACCAAGGCTCAAATTAGTAGAGGGACACATTGCAACTGAAAAATTATTTGTGTTGAAGATAGAATCTGCTCTTCCTGGAACCTGATGCTGTAGCTGCCTCGGCAGTCTTTTGACCCACCATTTTTCACTTCATTCTTCTGTTCTCTGCCCCTTGGACTTAACCTACTTGTTATAATGGCTTTGGAAGACGAATGTGGCCTCATTTCTGCTTGTGTATAAAGCTGATAGATTACTATCTCCAGCCTTCACTCAGCACTTTCATGCTGCCCTCAAGATGTTAGTACTTGTCAGTATAGCTCCCAGACATGGAATCAGATGAGATTTCAGCCCCAAGCATGAACCAGAACCAGGGAAGACAAGGGAACCTTGGAGGCAACCCCTAAGACCATACCCTAGGACAATACCCCATATTCAGGAAACCAGCAGAATGAAGGAACCTAATGTGCCCCAACTGGATGTGTCAATACACCAGGAAGGGCGATCTAATTTGAGTAGCTGAACCCTCAGTTATTGTCGGCAAGAT